AAGGCAGCCCTGCATAGTGAAGTATTTTTTATGTTGTATATGTTTTTATATATATTGGAAGCCGCCAGAGTTGCTAGGGCAAACCAGTCAATTGTTGTTGTTGTTTTGTTGTTGTTTTGTTGTTGCATCAGATTTGGGATATTCCTCAAGCATATGTTTCCAAAGGATATTTGCTGCACACCCACACAGACCTTTTAACATGACTGATTTTAGTCTAATGACCCATAGAATATGGAAAGAATATTAAATAGGACGCCCCTATTTTCATCAGAGGTATATTGGAGGGTATGACACTAACTTCTTCCCCCCACCACATGAGACAATAGGGGGAGTGCTGTGGGAGGGGGGCGATTTTGATTACAAAAAGAATTAGAAGGGAGAATGTTAATCACTCCTTCCTCCTAAGTCTCTTTCCTGCAATCAACTTTTAGTCCTTTGACCGCACTTCCCTAACAAAACAAAATCTTCAGACCAAACCACCATGTATACTTTGAGGCTCAGCACATGGTTAAACGTTGCCTTAAAATGATGCAGTATATATCATTAATCTCACCACTGTCCTGCCCCATCATTTTCCGCTGATGGTTGGATTGGATTTATAGTCATATACATCCCACACAAAATGCAACTCAGAGCACAGCAAAAGTCAGTCTGGTTAACGGTCCCCTCACATCAACTACCAGCCAAAAACCTGTTCATATGAAGTAGTATCATCACATCCTTTGCCCTCTTGCCTTTTGTGGGCTAAGACCATAGTTCTTAGGCCCACGATTGACAAAACCTCTCTCAATAGCTTATATGTAAAGTGCATTAAAGCTAGCTTTAAGTGGTTAACAGCCAAATCCTGCATAGATTCTGCACAGGCTGTATGTAGATAAGCACATTGAAATTTACGAAACAGGGCTGTAAGGTTGCAATCCTGTGGACATTTACTGTTGGGAGTAAAATCCGTTGCACTTGTGGAGAGAACGACAATGGCATGTTCATGATTGTTTCTTGTTTACTAAATAACAAGTATAGGAAAGCCCAATCCAGACCGGGGCTGGGAGAGAGAGAAGATTCAAGCCTTTGCTCCTGTTGTGGTCCTGATCCAGATCACTGCCCCCAGCAGCTGTTTACAAATTGATCACCATTGTGTCTATTTTCAACCTTACTTCCAAGTAAACATGTATAGGATTAGGCTATTACCCAACTAATGACTACAATAGTTTCAGAATTACCCTCACCTGGTGGCTTTTTCAATTTTCTAGTTTATCGCTGACCAAGTTACTGTACTTTTCTGTCTATAAGACGCCCCTTGTATAAGACACACACCTCCGTTTAAGAAAATGAGGGGAGATGGCCCAAAGTTGTTCAGCCTCTCCCCCGACGCAGCTGTGGGCAGAAAACACTCCCTAGATCATTTCCCACACGCAACGGCATTGGGTGAATTTGCGCTCCCGTCAAAGAGCTGGCTGGCAGCACGCTGCTTCTCCCCACCACGCAGCTGTGGGCAGTAAACACCCCCCAGATCGCTCCCCGCTCGCTGCAGCATCGGGGGAAGCCGCTCTCCAGCCCACCAAATGGCTGGCGGCACACCGCCCTTCTCCCCGCTGCCATGCTACTATCCATGTATTGGACGACCTCAGTTTTCTGAAGTGATTTTTGAGTCAAAAACCCTCGTCCAATACACGGAAAAATACGGTATCTTGTTTTACACCTGTGTGCATAATAATAATTCATAATAAAAATGTTCATTTCCCTGGAACATTCACAAGTCACTTGGGGAACCTAAGATCAAGAGTTGCCTTGCTGAATCAAAGCAAAATCCATCTAGATCAGCATTCTGCTGTTAATATCAGAAAGCAAAGACCTCTGCAAGCTGTCAAGCAAGGCATAGAAATGAAAGGCACCAGCTGTTCCTTTGAGGTATACTGCCTTCATCTATGTAGGTTCAACCATTTTTCATAAAGCAATCTCATCACATCTTAGGATGCTGAGTTAATTATTAACTTTGTACAGAAGTATTTTCTTATGTCAGCCTTGAACTGTATGCAGACCACTTCTTTGAAGACCTTGAATTATGAGATGAGAGGTAGGGGGAAATTTGCTCTCTACCCATGCTTTGCATAGTGATAAGAACATAGCCTCAACTGAAGCAATAAAATACATAACCTGTATGCCACAATAAACCTTTAAGGTCGTCATTGTGGGTTTTGCTGCAACAAACAAAAAACTGCTGACATTCTGGAGTAAGCTAGAGAGCAGAACATTTTCTATGTGAATTCTCAGCTACATAGAAGAGATAATAACAAATATATCAGGAATCCACTAGTTTGCTTTTCATGCCTTTGGTATCATATTCCATTATTCTTTGCAGAGTGGTTTTAATTAAACCAACTTGTGATCTTTCAGATGAAGGGTGGTATACAAATTTTAACAACAACAGGCCATTCAGTAAATGCTAATTTACCATTGTAGATATAACTTTAGAAATTGGTTGCCCGTAGTTCCTGCCAAAATCTGAGAAGCATTTTAAAACAAGTTCAGTCAGAAAGCATCATCCTGTGTTAAGCTGCCACCTCTATTTGTCCACTGTTGCAGCAACTGATGACTCACATTTATCTTAGGATCAACTGAGTAACACCCAAACTTGGCTGCCAAATGTTTCCTTTTGCCTGCCATTTTTAAGTGGCCCGCCTTTATATCAAAAAGTTGGTTCTGATACAAAATTACACATGTGATTTGATGATTCAAGAGAAGCCCATAAAAAGAACAAAATGTCTTGTGGCACCTCAAAGACTGAAATTTGTTGCCTGAAAACAACAGAGTCTTTTTAAGCCTAGCAAATTTATTATGGCGAAAGTTTTTGTGGGCTAGAGTCCACCATGAAAGCTTATTCTGCAATACATATGTTAGCTGCCAAAGAATTCTCTTGTTTTCGTACTATGAAGCAAATCAATTGATTCAGCTGAGCCAGAACAGAACAGTATGAAACTTGCTGAGAAATTCTAGTACAGCAACTCCAAGCTGGAACTGCCTGTTTAAGTCTTTTTGCCAGAGTATTGTTAATTTGGGGTCACCAGCAGGGCATCCTGCTCTTCCACTGAATGTTGCCGTTTTTATATCAGATTTGTGTTCTTTAGTACAAATGGCCTGTTTATGGGCCAGCCTAATACATTTTGGCACCTGAGGCAAACCACAAAATGGCACCCCCTCCCTGCCAGGGAAGAAGGGGTGAGTGAATATCTACACCAGGAAAAAGGGAGGAATAAAGATCTGTTTTGGGATCTGCTGCCCCTGTAGATCCTGCCACCTGAGGCTGTTGCCTCTCCTTGTCTCATGGGTGATTCAGGCCTATTCAGACAAAGGCATTGTTGGCAATGGTGTTTTATGGGCAGGTGAATGAACTCTGATGGCATGGCTGATGTTATTAGGTCCTGTCTCCTGCTTGAAACCTTATCTGATAATGATAATTTATTATTTATACCCCGCCCATCTGGCTGGGTTTCCCCAGCCACTCTGGGCGGCTTCCAACAAAATATTAAAAATATTTTATCACTGCCTCCTTCTTTCTCAGTCAATTTCCCTAGCTTACAGATGACTTAGTCCTAACAGATGACAAATATTATCTTTAGCAGAGTCAATCCATTCAAATGAGTCTTATGCCTCTTTACAATTCCTATAATCCAATTTTAAAAAGGCAGAATCACATTTCAAGATTATTATTTTTAAACAGATGCAATGCGCAGAAGGGAGTAGTAGACATTGATCAGTCTGTAAGATCTTCTTGATCACAAGGGGATAGATGGATGCTGGATGCACACATACTAAAAAAAAAATGGAGATAGGTGCTGCTTCTTAGTATTTGTCCAACCTTTGTGGAGGAGGCGCTCTCTTGGTGTGGAAGATAGAAACATGCAATATCATATCCCATTTATAGCATGCTTTGATCCAGCATCTTCCCTCCATCACCCTTGATAGCCTTGCAAAATCCTTGCAAAATCCTATCACTGATCATAACACTTTAAATTCCGTGTTATACAGTTTCACCTGTGTTACAGAATGTAAGTACGCTGCGTGCCATATACACCATGTTGGAAAAACGAGGTCAGACCTTTGTTACAATTTCAAAAAATCACAAATGAGTAGTCACACACACACACAAGCCTTGAAAAACCTGTTGCCACCTGCTTAAACGAGCACAGCCTTTCAGATTTGGAAATATAGCCAAAAGGAAAACAAACAAAACTCATGCACTACTCATATTGCATCTGAAGAACTATGCCCAGTCCTGGACATCACATATTTAGAAGAATTTAGATAAATTGGAACAGGTTCAGAGGAGGGCAGCGTAGATATGGTCCATGGTATAAAAGGCAAGCCCTATGACTGGGTATGTTTAGCCTGAAGAAGAGAAGATTGTGACAGTATTCTTCACACACACACACACACACACACACACACACACACCCTGCAACAAATAAGACAAGGTATTTAAAATCAACACAAAGTAAAACTGATTTGTAGCTAAATATTATGAAGTTGGTTGCGCTTGCAATAAAGTCTAGGAACACTATGTTAAACCCAGAACTGCAGTATAACATCTGATCAGTAGAGGGCAGACATAACCCAACAAATTTGTACCAAAGAAGAAATTACATTCTTGCGATAGAATGATTGTCCTGTTACCTTTGAAGAATAAAGGGACAATTTTGACATTGTTAAATGTCTTCTTGGGTCCATTACCCTCAGATCTAAAGGAAAGTTCAAGCTTACCAGGTTCCATGAAAATATCTCACTTTATGGAAACATCCATACCTTATAGGTACGGAAGACTACTGTATATTCTATGCCAAGATACCACCTTTTGCTTATATTGTTCATCAGGGTTCCTCCCCCCTACAAAAGAAGGATCTTAACTAAGCGGTGTTTGAAATGTAGGTGCCACCGAGCTGCTTTTCTTCATTCTGAACAAGCAGGTTAGAAAACGGAAATATTACAGCCTTGCAGTCTAGGTCTTAAAATGTATCTGTGATTCTCACCTGTACACTGTTATCAGGGATGAGATTTTCACCCAGAGATTCATTCCCAATTCCAGAATCGTCCTTCAGAATGGGATCATCTGTGGCCACTGAGGGGTTTGGTTTCAGAAAGGCAAACTCATTCCGGTCTGCCTTAGACGCTAAGCATACTTCATATGAATAGGGCAATGTCAATGTCCCATTATTGTAATTGCAGGAAAATTTGTGTCCCAAGCTAGAGTACAAGTCAGTATTGTAGGATCCAAGCACTGTTGGGCTTCTCTGTCTCCGACATTTAAGTATTAAAACTGTTAAGACTGTAAAAAGGAATAAGAATGAGACCAAAGCCAAGGCTATAACTAAAATGGCATTCATATCAGACTGATACTTAGAGTCAATGGCTGGTTTGCTCATTTCCGGAAGTGCCTCTTGGAAGTTCTCGGCAACCACAAGGTTGAGGACCACAGTAGCTGAGAGCGGAGCCTTCCCATTGTCCTTCACCAAGATGACCAGCTTCTGTTTCACAGCATCTTTCTCCAGAAGGGCTCGTGACGTCCTGATCTCTCCCGTGTGGGTCCCAATGGTGAAGAGGGCCGGCTCTGTGGCCTGCAGCACTTGGTAGGAGAGCCAGGCATTGTGCCCAGAGTCCGCGTCCACAGCCACCACTTTGGTCACCAGGTAGCCTGGCTCTGCCGAGTGAGGAACCATCTCAAACAAGGCAGAGCCCTCAGCACCTGGGAAAGGATACAGAACGCGAGGGCTGTTATCGTTCTGATCCAAAATGTACACCCACACGGTGGCGTTGTTGCTGAGAGAGGGAGAGCCGCCATCTTGGGCCTTTACTTGGATCTGAAACTCCCGGAATTGCTCATAGTCAAAGGAGCGCTGTGCATAGATAGTTCCCGTCTCAGAGTTGATGGAGACGTAAGAGGAGAGAGGCAGCTCCTCCATGTTGCTGTTGAGGATGGAGTAAGTGATACGTGAGTTGCGGTTCAGATCCGGGTCCGAGGCTTTGAGGGCAAAAATGGAGGCACCTGAGGGATTGTTTTCAGGCACAAAGACACTGTAGGTTGATTTTTCAAAGGCAGGGGGGTTGTCATTGATGTCTGAAATCTGCAGGGAGATGGTTTTGTTGGAGGAGAGAGGGGGGCTACCTTTGTCGGTGGCCGTGATTGTGATGTTGTATCCTGAGGCTTTTTCTCTGTCTAGCGGGCTCTCTGTAAGTAGCTTGTAGTAACTGTTAGATGAAGAAAGAATTTTAAAAGGCAAATTATATTGTATGTGGCAAGTAACCTTCCCATTTTCTCCTTCATCTCTATCATCCACATTGATCAAAGCTATCACAGTTCCTGGTAGAGAGTCTTCAGGAACTGGACTAAACATAGATGTTAGCAAAATCTCTGGAGCATTATCATTCTCATCCAGAACATCAATCTCGACTTTACAATGTGCCAGTAGTCCACCACCATCTTTGGCTTCCACTAACATCATATAGCTTCTGGATTCTTCAAAGTCTAAAGTCTCCCTAAGTAAAATTGCTCCACTTTCAGGATCCAGGCTGAATTTCTGTCTTGCTTTAGCTGGGATATTGCTAAAACTGTATCTTATCTGTGCATAAGGACCTTCATCTGCATCTGAGGCTTTCACCTGGATCACTAACGATCCTTTTGGTGCACTCTCTTTTAGGCTGAGTTTATAGACTTCCTCAGTGAAAACAGGTGGGTTGTCATTGGCATCAGTGACATTAATCCATATCTGGGCTGTTCCAGTTTTTCTTGGTTCTCCACCATCCAGGCCTGTAAGGACCAAGTGGAGGCTGTGCTCACTTTCCCGATCCAGAGGTTTGCTTTGCACTAAAATAGGGTATTTATTTCCATCTGGACTTTCTTTAACTTCCAAGGTGAAGTACTGATTACTGCTCAGCTGGTAATTTTGCAGAGAATTTATCCCAACGTCAGGATCTTCAGCACTTTCAAGGGGGAATATGGCTCCAGTCAAGCTAGATTCACTTATTTCTAGCTTGATATCATCTTTTAAAAATTGTGGTGCATTATCATTAATATCCTCTATGGTGATGCTTATATGAAAAACATTTAGAGGGTTTTCAACCACAGTTTCAAAGTTAAGGACACAACTGGGTGATTTCCCACAGATTGCTTCTCGATCTATTTGGTCTCTGACATAGAAGTCTCCATGTTCCTCATTCACAGTAAAGAACTGAGCATTAGCTGCAGAAACAATACGGAGCTTCCTCTTCACCAGGTCTCTCTTACTCAGACCCAAATCCGTGGCCAGATTTCCCACAAGAGAACCCTTCTCCCTTTCCTCAGGAATTGAATACCAGACCTCTTCCGACATTGTCAGGCAGAACAAAGAGAATAACAAGGAAAGCTGTACTTGCCGCCGGAGTGGCTCCCTGCTCCCTGTGATCTTCATCCATTTCCTCGGCTGCTTTGTTTGCATCTTTTCTTTTCTGATTCGGGTCTTCAAGTTTCTTTCATGCTGCAAGAAGTTGTTGTCAGGAGCAGGCATCGTTCCATGATGCAGTCTCAACGGGGAGGGATCCATTTTTGGTAGGATGCTATATTGTTGTCCCTCAATTCCAGCTCCTTCAGATTTGTAGAACTTAACTCAGTAATTGTTACATCACAGGAAAAGTGAATGGACCCCTGATTTCTATCCTTATCCCGTATTGGCCAACAGCGGCACTCTGAGTCTCTGCTGGAAAACTGCAGGAGCGCCTACTGGCACAACATGCTGATAAGAGTTCAGAGGCTGACAGGGTAGCAACATTTCTCATGAGATGTGCACAGGTTTATGCAATTATTTAGTTGTGTGTGCATTTCACAATTCTCCTTAAGGCAGTATGTGCAAGAGTGAACACACATATGGTGCACACAGGAAACACTCTGAAGTTATTACCTTAACTATCAGTGGGCTTTGTATCAAGAACTTCATAAACAAGGTTTCTGAGGCAGAAATATAGCACTCAGCACTTAATTGAGAGGGTTTCCTTCACAATAGCCCCCCAAAGCAAAGCCTTAAATTCTTCAGAAGGTCTAAAGGCAATGCCCATAGTACCAGCTTTTGTGCCAAACTGCCAACCTCTTTTTATGATTAGAGGAAGAAACTGAGGCAGAAAGGGGTGGGAGTCATTATGAAGAGCTGTCATGTGGGGAACAACTACAAGTGCTGGGCCCTTGTTCCCCACCCGCTAGAATTTCTGAATCCACAATACTTCATTTCATAGGACAGGAATGGGCAGACATCAAGCTAAACTATCAGTCAGAACCAGGTGCAAAAGACATAGGGTTGTAGTCAACTAAGTCCTACCCTGAGGTAGACTCAGTGACATAAGTAAACCTAAGTTTGTCATGTCCATCAACTTCAATAGGTCTGAGCAGGACTAGCATTGAGTACCACCCATAGAATTAAAGAACAAGCTTCTTCTGAGCACATTCTGAGCCAAGGAATGTGTTTTCAGTACCAGAACAGAACTGTTTCACAATCATTCACACAAAAGTTCACTCCTGGTTAGTTTTCCTCATTTCAGTAGCCTAATTTAGGTGAAAAGAAGTTTTTTGTTATTGTTAAGCTGGGAGCCAGAAACCCTTGCCATTCTGCTGAAAAGCACCCAAAGATCTATCGGTGGATCCTGACCCACCACCTGCCCATCTCTGTCTAGGATACTGCATGCGATACTTCTGCAATAATTGCAACAATTTTGTTTTTTAGCCTTATATCCTATTCAATCTACAGAGACTGAGGATAGGCAAGAATGTTATATAAACAGACAAGTTGCAAACGATAATTGTAGTCATGATGACAAAATCAGAGAGTTTGAAATATGTTCCTAAAATAAGTATGGGCCATACAGGAAGTATATGTCTGAGTCCACATCCATGGCCACCACCTTAGTGACCAGGTAGCCTGGCTCAGAGGAGCGAGGGGCCAGCTCTATCCCTATGGAACCATCAGTGGGAGGGGAGGGATACAGGATTTGGGGAGCATTGTCATTTTGGTCCAGGATGAAGAGAGTCACTGAGATCTTGGAGCTGAGTGGTGGGGAGCCTCCATCCTTCCATGGAACTTAATCTCCTGGAACTTTTCATAAATGAAAGAACATCAGGCATAAATAACCCCAGACAGAATTAATAGAGTTATATAGACAAATTACTGATCTCATTTTTAATAAGTTATTCTCAGTCTGGATAAGTTGTTCTTCATGGACCTCACAACCCTGCCCCAGGACTGGATAGCTGAGATCCTGGCTGGCTCTCAGAATCTTCCTCATCTCTTTGGGGGCCACAGGCTGAGAGAAGAAGGTGAACCAGGCAGGAACATAAGAGTTGCCACAGTGCCTGGATAGCTGCTGCAGAGGCTACTCATGAGAAGGAATCAAATGGAAAGAAGTCATGACTGAGATCTTGGAAGGGGTGGATCCTCTAGCTCCTGTATAAGTTTCCAGTCTAAGTTCCTTCACTGCTGAAGCAACAGCTCCCATCTCCTCTTCAGTCTGCTTGACGCACAGAAACACCCACCACCTGGCACCAAACTGTAATGATTGCTGATCGATTTCTTCAGTTTGAAAGGGAGACTGTCAGAACCGAACACAGGATTTATCCATGGATTCTTTAATCCTGATGTTGCATGTTTAGGAGGGCTTCTGTTTTCATCTTGAGAGAGATTTCTTTGGGGGTATTTTTTTGGCAGTACAATATGTGAGGATATGGCTAATTAAAGAGCATAGCCATACACAGGTAACAAGGATAACAAATATTGACAATCTCCATATTGAGCCTGGACTCACTGAAGAATGGAGGCTTGTTTAAAGCCCAAGGCACTGTCATTGCATCAAGAAATGTGACTCAGGTTTTTGAAGTACCAGACCTTTCTGACTCTCCTCCTTAATACACTGTGAGGAGCGGATGGTGAGCAGCTTCCTCTCTGTGGTTAAGAATTCTTTCTACCACAAGTTCAACATACCTGGCACCTCCAGCTGCTATTTTCACGTCCAGGATAAAATTATTCCTTTAGCTGATTTTGAGGTTCTAGAGAGAATTGGTTTCCAAATCAGTATCTTGTGCCTTATAGATGGCAAATTGGAGTTCTCTTGCTTTATTCTCACCAACTTTTGTTTCTGGTTCTTCTGATGGGAACCTGGGCCCATTGTCATTAATAGCTATCATTTCAGTTTCCACTCCATAAATTTTCATTGACCCCTCCATATATAATCACAAAATTCATCACACACTTCTCTACATGGCCACAAAATCCTCTCCATATAGTTGGTCTGTGGTGTGTAAATGACCAGCTTCAGAGTAAAATACTGAGACCAATATTGTGAAAACAATGTACACCTCTCTCTGAAAGATCTCTTATATCCAGTCTCATCTCATTTGTGCAGAAGAAGCATGCACTCTGCTACTGAAGCCACAGTTCTCCCTTTAATTACTGTTAGAGCTGACCATGATTTGGCCACACCATTTTAAAGAGCCCCAGAATATGAGGAAAGCACTTTTGAGTATGTGTAGACTGCCTGTCTTTTATTGCTAAGTCACCGCAATAAACTTTCACGGGTCTGATGTTGGTGGGAAGTATAACAGGGCACAAGTAAAGTTGGGTTCCAAAATATTGGTTGGGGGTGATGCAATACTTTCTGACTTCTTATAACAGCTGATTGTCTCCCACACCCTATTACAAACCATTCTTGAAACTCAGTTTTTATTAGCTTCAAAAGCCCCATCCATTATGGCATGGGGACTGCAAGTGAACAAAAACACGCCCCACAAATGCTTTCAGATTCACAGAAAGAGTCTTCTCTGGATCCTGGCCCAAGCCTTTCATGAAGCAGAAAACATTGGCACGATCTGAACTATTTTGGGGAAAATGTTTTACAGTTGTAAAATATATGCAAAATTTGTAGTACACAAAGAGTTCTAAAATATGAACAGATTATTTTAAACAGATTTTACGCAAGTGCAGCATTGAAAATGTCTCCTGATACTACCTTCTTCAGAGACTCCTATTTCTATGTGGAGGTTTGTGGCCAACATCAATATACTATTAATTAGCAAGAAGAGATCCCTTCCCTATCTCTTGACAGCTAAAAAAATAGTAACTTTTTAAAAAGCAAAGCTAATCAAGTAAAATTGCTACCTTATTTAATGAAAGTGGATATAACAAACACGCTTCTCAGATTGTTATGAGCTCCTATTTGAATGGCAGTACTTCGTTACTTTATTCTGCTAAGCATAATTACATGTCAGGAAGTCCAATAGATTTTAGTGAAGCATACTTCCAAGTACATATGATCATGAGAGCAGTCAGTGAAAATCAAAGTTATTACTAGGAAACAAACCTAAACAGAAACAATGATAAAGTAAATGATTCACAGTGAGCTCAGTGGTCTAGATAAAGGAAAATGAGTCATTTCAGCAAGAGATGCCCACCTCATTGCCTCTTTCTATGGTTGTTCACTGATTATTCCTTCATGTGTAGAATTCATGCACATTCCCCAATGTTTGTGCTGTCTCTTGCCCTGTCCAACATCTGCATATTCAGTGGAGCATTGGGAAGAAGAACCTACACGTTTACAGCCGTATGTGCATAGGTTTTAACCTGGCTTGGGTGTTATGACTGAACAAGGAATTGCAGTATTGTAAGGGTGCTTCATTATCATGGTTCTCAATTGTGAGGAGGCTTCTAAGTGCTCAATGCAGTGGATGGAGTCAGCTGACTGCAGAGCTGGCAAACAGGACCCCATGCGCCTTACTTGTGTTACGATTCTTTTCAGGTATAATAAAAAAATCTCTTTGTACTCAGTTTCTGTTGCATGGATTCAGCCTCTCCTGCACTGAAGCCATTATGCCACATCCTAGGCATCTCTTTTGTGTTACATCACATCTCCATGGCAGCCACTTTGTGTCAAGACATGCCCCTATAGCAGCCATTTGTGGCTGGTGCCCACAACACTCTCTCCAAATTCCAAATGTGCTTACTGGACAAAAAAGGCTGGCTACCCTGCTTTATATTCACTATGCAAGAAAGGCCATTATTTGACTTGAGCATTATCAGTTTGGACATTGTCCTGTGCAAATGTCAGAAAAAGTGAATGCATTACATATCTATATCTGTATCTAATCATCTATATCATTTGTATCTATATCTATATCTATATCATTCTGCCAATTCACCTTGGATGAATGGCAGATTTTAAAAAACCTATGTTTATTTTAAGATAGGTTTCCTTTCATTTGGAGCTCAAAGGTCAAACCCTGAGGAAGATAAGGAAAGAGGATCGAGGTGGTCTCCTCAGGTGAAGTACAAAATGCAACATGAAAAGAATCCCAGGCTCACTAGATTTTTACTCCATTCCCATAAAAGCTCACTGGAATTCCTCGAACATATTGGGTTGAAATGAAGTTACCTTTTCTTTTATCTAGGTTTTATTCCATATTCTGATTGTAAAACATGCCACAGGAAATGTGAACATGGATGGCTCTCTTGCTAAAGAGCATATTTCATAGTCTGTAAGTTCTTTTCCAGGTGCTGTGACCCCAGCACACATATGATCCACACAATATCTGTTGTTGACACATGAACAGCCCAGACTATTCTCAATCACAGCCATGTGGTTGTGTGAACCAGCAATGTGTGAACCAGCAATAAATGCAACCAAACAAAATGTCCATGATAAGGGAATGTCAAAAAATGCTGACTTCTATATTTGTGTATTACTAGTTCACAACATGTAGTTATATTATCCATGTTATCATGGGTGTCTTTGTTGTCAAGCTTCCGCTAGGATGGCATATGTGTGGGAGAACGCTATTCTATTAGATGCTATTAATTTTCGGGGATAGAAAACCATATGGATAGAATTAATCTACTCAACAGACTGGTAAAAAACAAGGGAAATTATTCAGTCTATAGCTACACTGATATAGCCAGATCACAACAAAAGCAGAAAAAGAAGATGCTCAGCTTAATTTAGGAAAGGACTCACTTGTAAGAGTGCCAAGAATCCAAGTACCAGTTGGATGTGCTAAGTAAGCATGTTCAGAATGCCTCAGTGGCATGCCATTCAGGCAGGTCTAAGTACTGGTTCTTCCCATATAAAGCATCAGACACTTGAGCACATAATGATCTAAAAACAGTAGCTAATAATACCTATGGGGAAGAAAGATGTAGTGCCAACATCACAGTTCTGAAAGCAAAGCTTACCTGCTCACCAACCTCATCTTTGACATTGGCATCCCCACCATTGCCATCCACAAGAACCACCTGAGAGCTATCATTGCATAGCAAGTTTTCTGCCACCTGGATATGGGGTTTTGGGAAAGAGATCTGCTCTTTCCTCATCTCTGAAGATAGGCAGAGTTGGTAGGAATAAGGTAAAGTTCCTTCTTCATAGTTTGGTGGAAATATGACCTGCGCCTTAGAAAAAGCATTAGGTTCAAAGCATTGGAATAATTTGGGATTTCCTGATTGTCGAAGTTTCATGACAATGACCAATATCACTGTCAGGAGGAATAAAAATGAGATCAATGCCAAAGCCAGCACCAAGTAAAACTGGAGGTCAGAATGATGCTCTGGGTCACTGGATTGCCTAGTCATTTCCGGAAGTGCCTCTTGGAAGTTCTCGGCAACCACAAGGTTGAGGACCACAGTAGCTGAGAGTGGAGCCTTCCCATTGTCCTTCACCAAGATGACCAGCTTCTGTTTCACAGCATCTTTCTCCAGAAGGGCTCGTGACGTCCTGATCTCTCCCGTGTGGGTCCCAATGGTGAAGAGGGCCGGCTCCGTGGCCTGAAGCACTTGGTAGGAGAGCCAAGCATTGTGCCCAGAGTCAGCGTCCACAGCCACCACTTTGGTCACTAGGTAGCCTGACTCTGCTGAGTGAGGAACCATCTCAAACAAGGCAGAGCCCTCGGCGCCCGGGACAGGATACAAAACGCGGGGGCTGTTATCATTCTGGTCCAAAATGTACACCCACACTGTGGCGTTGTTGCTGAGAGAGGGAGAGCCGCCATCTTGGGCCTTCACTTGGATCTGAAACTCCCGGAATTGCTCATAGTCAAAGGAGCGCTGTGCATAGATAGTTCCCGTCTCAGAGTTGATGGAGACGTAAGAGGAGAGAGGCAGCTCCTCCATGTTGCTGTTGAGGATGGAGTAAGTGATACGTGAGTTGCGGTCCAGATCCGGATCCGAGGCTTTGATGGAGAAAATGGAGGCACCTGAGGGATTGTTTTCTGGTACAAAGACACTGTAGGTTGATTTTTCAAAGGCAGGGGGGTTGTCATTGATGTCTGAAATCTGCAGGGAGATGGTTTTGTTGGAGGAGAGAGGAGGGCTACCTTTGTCAGTGGCCGTGATTGTGATGTTGTATCCTGAGGCTTTTTCTCTGTCCAATGGACTATCTGTGAGAATTTTGTAATAATTGTTAGATGAGGATAAGATTTTAAATGGTACATTACCTTGTAGATGGCATGTAATTTTTCCATTTTCTTCAGAATCTTTATCCTTTACACTGATAACAGCAATTACTGTCCCAGGAACAGAATCTTCAGGAATTGGACTAGATAAGGAGGCCAGAATGATCTCTGGAGCATTGTCATTCTCATCTATAATCTTTATTTCAATTTTACAGTGAGCCACTAATCCTCCTCCATCTCTTGCTTTTATTGCCATAGTGTACTTTTCTGTTTCCTCAAAATCAAGATTCTCTGTATTCATAATTATTCCATTTTGTGCATCTATCCTAAATTTCTTGTAGACTTTTTCTGGTACTTTACTGAAACTATAACTGATCTGACTATTTGGACCTTCGTCTCTATCAGAGGCTGCAATCTGAAGTATGGGAGACCCAGCAGGGGAATTTTCCCTCACACTGACCTCATAGACCTCTTGAGTGAAGACTGGTGGGTTGTCATTGGCATCTGTGACATTAATCCATATCTGCGCAGTCCCAGTTTTTCTGGGTTCACCCCCATCCAAGGCCGTAAGAATCAACTGAAGCGAGTGCTCACTTTCCCGATCCAAAGGTTTTTGCAGGACCAATTCTGCATATTTATGGCCATCCAGACTATCTTGAACCTCCAACGTGAAAAATTGATTTTGGCTTAACTGGTAGTCATGAAGGGAATTCTTCCCAATATCAGGATCTTCAGCTTTCCCAAGGAGAAATCTGGCACCTGGCAATGTGGATTCAATTATTTCAAGCCTTATATTGTCATTCAGGAAATGTGGTATATTGTCATTAATGTCCTGAATTGCTACACTTACATGGAAAACATTTAATGGATTTTCAACTAAGGCTTCAAAATTAATGAAGCACTGTGTGCTCTCTCTGCACATTCCCTCACGATCTATCCTCTCATTCACATACACATTTCCATTTTCTGCATTGATACTGAAATATGGTTTTTTACCTTCAGAAATGATATGCAGGTTTCTATTCCTCAGTTCTCTGGCATTCAGTCCCAAATCCTTGGCAAGATTTCCCACAAAGGACCCCTTTGCCATCTCCTCAGGGATGGAATAGTGAATTGACTCTGAAATCTCCCAGCAGAGGAAAAACAGTAATAGTAGAAGCAAAATGTGGCTTCTGAATGCCCTGAAGCTTTCTCTAGGAATAACTTCCATCCTCATCTCCATTCTCCTGCTAATGAGCAGATGAGCTTCTTTGTTGTTCAAAAAACAGGGATACAGAAGAATAAGTTGATTCCCTTGATTTCCCTCTCAGTTTGCTTGTATCACATTTGTTTCCTCAGCTCAGTAACAGCAGGCAGGTCTTTGTAGTCTGTTCTTTCTGCAGCTGGTAAGTAGCAATCTGACAGTGGATCCCTAATAGCTCCCAAATTGGCCAACAGCGGCACTGTGAGTTCCAACTGAAGAACTGCAAGTGAATCAGCTCTAAGAATAAACTGGAAGAACTGAAATATATGCTTTCCCTCTCCATAAAAAAAACATTTTAATACTTTGAAAGAAACATTTAGTGACTAAAAGCAATTGTGTTATGTATTGCAGTACTAAGTTCTTGACCATATTGATGGATGTGTGCAACCCCTTCAGACTTTTAATGTTTTCAACAAAATATCCCTCACAGGCCATTTGCAAGAAAATCACTTTATATACATAAAATATTATATTTTAATTAGATGAAAGTTCTGGATTTCATCCCTTATATTCCCTTCTTTTTTGAAATAACAATTGCTTTTTAAAAAATTATCTACACTTTTAACATTTCTTATTTTTTAAAAAAAGTATTTGTAAAAAAGTATTTTTTTAAAAAACAGGAAAGGATCACTTTTTTGTAGATTCAGTCCAGTAAAGATGGTCTGTGTTCATAGGATTCTTGTACAGTGGTACCTCGGGTTACATATGCTTCAGGTTACATACGCTTCAGGTTACAGACTCCACTAACCCAGAAATAGTACCTCGGGTTGAGAACTTTGCTTCAGGATGAGAACAGAAATCGTGCTCTGGCAGCGCGGCAGCAGCAGGAGGCCCCATTAGCTAAAGTGGTGCTTCAGGTTAAGAACAGTTTCAGGTTATGAACGGACCTCCGAAACGAATTAAGTACTTAACCTGACGTACCACTGTACCTGAAATGTTTGATGCCAATGGACAGTTTTCTGAAACTCTTCCCTCAAGACCAGTAGATTTTTTTGACTTTGACTACTCACAATGTTTCAGTACATTTTCCAAATAAGGGAGGAAATGTGCCGCTAACAATTAGGTATGTAGATGCATATGCAGAGGATACAACAGCTTGCCAATATGGCAAAGTTGAAAACAATGCATTGATCCCCACAAACTGTGAGATGGGAGTGCCACTGAAATTCACACTCCCCGACTCAACCAGCTGAGAATTTCTCCATCTGTGCAACCTGATGACCACTAACACAAGGAGGAAGATGAGGAACAAGCAGGAGTCAAAAGCCACTGCAAGGGCCAGGTAGAAGGTGAGGTCAGACGGAGGAGCAGATGATGGAACTGTCTGTGCTAACTTAGAGAAACAAAGATAGAGAGAGGAAACAAAGTCAAATTTCAAAACTATGTTAGAAAAAAAGACGGTTCAGCACCAGAAGAGAGATTTATGGTGAACATTTCCAGTTGTAGGAGCAATTCAGACATTGTATAGAACATTGTGCCGTATCACTCTTTGGATATTTTCATGAAAAAAGTTATAAAACAATCTATTAAGGGGTCTTTAAGTCTGGGGTACATTGCCTTAGATTAGTTTGCTTTCTCTTTCTCTTTCCTACAATATGATATTTTGATTCAGTGGGGGAACACTGGTGGGAGCAACACAGAAAGTAGAGTGGCCCAGATACATTGCATGGAATTCATTCTCTTGTTGATCAGGAGGGGTGGAATTGTGAGAGGAAAGAGCACCTCTCAGGCCACAATATACACATCTCCTAAAAACACAGAAACCTATGCTTGCACCATATAACCTGCTGCTTCTGGTTAGTTAATCAGTTAATCCTACTTCATTACTCATAAGCACCGATAAACTAAGATCCTCACTACAAGTAACACACAGAAGGAATGTATAAGAGAGCATTTTTAGATTACAACTCTGAAAGTGTGTTTAGGGGGCAACACGTTTATGTTAAATGCTCTTAAGTATCTGCTATGAGAGAATGGCCAGGATTGGGATGAGATGGTGGTTTCATTGGTATGATGTTGCCTCTGATTCCCGGAATAGGATGGGTGTAGTTAATCATGTGACCTGATATTTTGCTGCCATAAAAATGCTAAGTTTTGTCATAGTGCATTCGAGTTGAATGCAAAAATTACTACAGTAAGTCTGGAATGCATCTGGAGAACAATTGCAAATCCAACCAAATGACAGGTTTGAGCAGTTTTAAAGACAGGCTTTAAAAGGAAACAGTTGTAGATGGTCTACACAGAAACCTAGGAGGATGCAACAAAGAAATAAAAGAAATAAAATTGAATCCATGTCATAGGGTTGCCATACGTCCTCTTTTGCCAGGACATGCCCTCTTTTTCATGGGTAAGTAAAATGAGAGTTGTCATTTTACATACATTAAAACATTAGTTAAAAGTCGAGGTTGGCAAATGTGTCCTCTTTTTTCTATTCAAAATATGGCAACCCAGGAAGATAAAAAATGATAAGAGGACCACAAGAAACAAATGAATGGAACAGAGATGGATCAGGTGGACTGAGTATTTCAAGGAGAATAGTTGACAAAGTGTAAATAGCAGAAGAATGGCAATAGAATGAAAAATTGTACAGTGGTACCTCGCAAGACGAATGCCTCGCAAGACAAAAAACTCGCTAGACGAAAGGGTTTTTGGTTTTTTGAGTTGCTTCGCAAGACGATTTTCCCTATGGGCTTGCTTCGCAAGACGGAAACGTCTTGCAAGTTTGTTTCTTTTTCTTAACACCGTTAATACAGTTGCGACTTGACTTCGAGGAGCAACTCATAGAACGCGGTGTGGTAGCCTTTCTGAGGTTTTTAAAGACTTTGGTGATTTTTGAAGCTTTTCCAAAACTTTCCCGACACCGTGCTTCGCAAGACGAAAAAAATCGCAAGACGACAAAACTCGCGGAACAAATTAATTTCGTCTTGCGAGGCACCACTGTAAAACAAAATTATAATTTAATGGCACTATGCCATAAATAGAACTTCCGGTATAGATGAGATGTGTCAGAAAATGGAATCACAATGTGTAGTTTTTGTTCTCACTCTTACATTTAGCCTTATTTTGATTTACAGTATTTATAGCACACTCTTCATTGAATATTTCCAGTCCCAATGACTTGAGTCCACTAAAGTTTATACCATAACAAATATGTTTGGGTTGCATCCAATGCTCATGTTTCTTCTCCTCTCCCCTCCCCAGTTGTCCTAATAAACAGTATTTAAGAGATCAGCTTGGCCCTACAACACGGAAAAATGGCAAAGCCCAACCCCTACCCCAAATGAGGAAGCAACTGCAAATGAAGAAAGAAATTGCCAGTTTGCATCTAAAGCAGCATGCTGGCCATTACTTTTGATGGGAATCCCATAAAAACTTCCCCTATACTTTTCCAGCCCCCAGAGCTCCAGTTTACAACTAGAAGCTCTATAGAGCTTAGATAATTTGAAGGCTGGTGATGGGAGAAGAGAGAGGGCAGGAGAAGGCAAAGCCACACATAAAAAGATGGCCAGCACATTGCCATTTGTGTGCACCTGAGGGTATGGCAGGAAAGAGGAGTGGAAGCAAGCAAGAAGCTTGCATACAGATGCATCCTAAATATAATTATTCTTAAATTGTTCAGCACTTCTGCACACTACTTCTGGAAACCTCAATAAAGCTACTCCTTACAGACATCATTACTTTGAAAGTCCAAGACACTGAGACTGCAGTCTTATACATGTTCACTTCACCTGGAGTTCCTTTTGAGTAGACATGCATGGGATCCTACTGTTAACTTCCAATGTCATAAATACCACAGAACTGGTTTAGTAGTCCAACTGAGTAAAGCAAAGCTACTTGGATCCAATGCTTAGATATTTTTGCCTTGACACTGTAAACCTTACTCTTTTATCATGCATAAATCAGTAGACGGTTCATGAGGGGCCCAATAAATAAGGCTGAGCTACTGCTTTCCAGATTTAAATAACTCATTTTTCAGTAAACATATATGTCAGAGAAAATGAATTCTCCTCCATATAATGTTTCAGTGTCAGTTATGGTAAAAGATCATGCAGCGTGCAATGAAAAATATTCTGGAATAAACCCTACCTTTTCATCACTTGCCATCTCTGAAATTAAATTGCTTCCTCCGTTGCCTGTAAAAGACACAGCAGGTTTCTCACTGCCAATAATATTGTCTACCATCTGAACACTGGGTGTCAGGAAGGTAAACTCATTCTTCCTGGACTCAGAAGACAGACACAGCTGGTAGGAATACGGCAAAGTCCCATCTTCAAAGTTGGGTGGGAAGATGGCACCATTCTTGGAATGGGGAACAGGACCAAAGCACTGTAGGAACCTGGGATGCCCTGATTGATGGAGCTTCATTGTAACAGCCAGAATCACGGTCAAGAGGAACAAGAAGGAGATCACAGCTAAGGCCAGCACCAAGTAGAACTGCAGGTCAGACTGATACTCCGAGCTGCTGGGTTGGCTCTTCATTTCCGGAAGGGCCTCCTGAAAGTTCTCAGCAAACACCAGGTTCAGAGTAATGGTGGCTGAGAGAGATGGCTGCCCGTTATCCTTCACCATAATGACCAGTCTCTGTTTCACAGCGTCTCTCTCCACAAAGGCCCTGGAGGTCCTGATCTCTCCAGTATGAGAACCAACCGTGAAGAGTGCCGGCTCAGTGGCCTGAGTCAGGTGGTAGGAGAGCCAGGCGTTGTGTCCAGAATCTGCATCCACGGCCACCACCTTGGTGACAAGATAATCTGCCTCGGCCGAACGAGGCACCATCTCAAACAAGGCTGAGCCCTTGGCTTCTTGGGAGGGGGACAGGATACGAGGGCTGTTATCATTCCTGTCAAGAACAAACACCCTGACGCTCACATTGCTGCTGAGAGGGGGAGAACCCCCATCTTGGGCCTTCACTTGCAGATGGAACTCTCTGAATTGTTCATAGTCAAAGGATCTCTGGGCATAGATGGTGCCAGTCTCTGAATTAATGGAGATATAGGAGGAGATGGGAAGCTCCTCGATGTTGCTGTTGAGGATGGAGTAAGTGATCCGTGAGTTCTGGTCCACATCGGGATCAGAGGCTTTGATGGTGAAAATGGAGGCACCTGAAGGATTGTTTTCTGGCACGTAGATGTTGTAGGATGGTTTCTGAAAAGTAGGGGCATTATCATTGATATCTGAGACCTGTAGTGAGATTGTTTTGTGTGTGGAAAGAGGTGGAGTTCCTTTATCAGTGGCTGTGATTGTAATATTGTATGCAGGAGCTATTTCTCTGTCCAAAGGACTGTCTGTCTGGAGTTTGAAGTAATTGTTAGATGAGGGAAGAACTTTGAAGGGTAAATCATTGTTTAAGTAGCAAGTAACCTTTCCATTATCACCACTATCTTTGTCATTCACATTAATCAGAGCAATTACAGTTCCCGGCAGAGAATCTTCAGGAACGGGGCTGAACATGGAGGCTAAAGTCACCTCTGGGGCATTATCATTCTCATCAAGCACAGTTATTTCAATATTGCAATGTGTCAACAATCCGCCACCATCTTTTGCTGTAACCATCATTGTATATTTTTCAGTTTCCTCAAAGTCCAACAGATCTATAAGAGTGATTGTACCGTTGATTGGATCCACTCTGAATTTCAATTGGACATTTGCTGGTATATTGCTGAAATGATACCTGATTTGGGCATTTGTACCTTCATCTTTATCTGAGGCTGCAACCTGAAGTACAGGAGATCCAAGGGGAGTATTCTCCCTCAAGCTGACCTTGTACACCTCTTGAGTGAAAACAGGTCGGTTGTCATTGACATCAGTAACATTAATCCGTATCTGGGCTGTTCCAGTTTTCCTAGGCTGACCCCCATCCAAGGCTGTAAGGATTAAGTGAAGGGTCTGTTCATTTTCCCGATCCAGTGGTTTATTTAGCACTAATTCTGCATAACTATTTCCATCTTTTCTCTTTCTAACTTCCAAACTGAAGTACTGATTGGAGCTCAGCTGGTAATCCTGGAGAGAGTTCACCCCAATGTCAGGATCTTCCGCCTTCCCAAGGAGAAACTGTGTACCTAGCAGAGTGGATTCAAGGATCTCTAAATTGATATTGCTATTCAGGAACTGGGGTGCATTATCATTAACATCCTGGATTTCTACTGTTACATGGAAAACATTCAGCGGGTTTTCCACCACAACTTCAAACTGAACAAAGCAAAGTGGATTTTTGCCACATATCCCCTCCCTATCAATCCTGTCATTTACATAGAGGTTTCCATTCTCTGCATTGATACTGAAATGCTGCATTTTAGCCACAGACACAGTGTGTAGATTGCGATGTTTTAGTTCTTTGGTGCTCAGTCCCAGGTCCTTGGCAAGGTTCCCCACAACAGAACCCTTTGCCATCTCCTCAGGGGTTGAATAATGAATCTGCTCTGATGCAGCCCAACAGGTAAAAGACAATAGAGAGAGAAGCAGTACTTGCCTTGTGAGTGCCCTGCCATTCCCTGGGTGCCTTCTCTCCATCTGGCTGGTTCTCTCAAAAACAGGCTGCTTCCTTTTCTCAGTTTCCTATGCTCAAGCTCTCAGAGTGATGAAGGAAACAACATGAGGTATCACTGAGGAAGAATAAACTGCCCTTGTTCTCATATGTGTGCAAAGCAAAAGAGATTTTTCCTTCTCTGCAAGAGTTCCCTGTCTCTGTGCTCTTCAGTTGGCCTGCTGTGAATAGCAGGGATGGGAGTTACTGCAGTCTAGGAAGCATCAATGGATCTCTATCCTCTCTCTGGCTGTCATACTGGCCAACACTGACACTTAGAGGACCACTCAAGGAACTGCAAGGAAAACCATGTTCACCATAACATAGAAAGATGGAGCTAAAATAATGCACGTTTCCACAATGTGAACTTTTTCTTTAGCCAATTGCAAGTGGAGCATTTGAAAAAGTTTTTCCTTGTTTCACCTTTGTTTAGCATATTACTTTTATTGTCCACACCTTCAGCAAGAAAGGCTTCCAGGGTGGGGTACAGGTCCAAAAAAGCAATATAAATAAAACAAAAATAAAACAAACTACACTCATAATAGAGACCAACTAAGTTTGTTATTGGTATGAGTTTTCGTGTGCATGCACACTTTTTCGTGCATGCACACGAAAGCTCATACCAATAACCAACTTAGTTGGTCTCTAAGGTGCTACTGGAAGGAAATTTTTTATTTTGTTTCAACTACGGCAGACCAATACAGCTACCTACCTGTAACTACACTCATAATGTTTGGTTATGAATAGATTTCATTTATTTTCTAACTGGCCTCAATCCAACTCCCTTTCAAAATGGGATTGGTGGCTCTGGCAGATTTTCATTATTCCCCTTACACATACATGCAAAAGAAGCACAAACTATCCCTTTTTAAATGCAGTGGAAGGCCCTTTGAGATACTAGGTGTGGATAAACTTCTGGATTATTTCCCCCCGCTTCACTCAGTTCCCTTCAGCAACAAAGTGAAGTATGGGCTCTCTTTTCCCTGCTACTCTTCTCAGTAACCTCAGTTCATGGTAGATGTGGGCAGAGATGGCAGTTAGCGTTTTGCAGACATATTCAAAGGAAGATTCCTCTTTTGCCTTCCTTGTCAATAATGGGTGTAGCTTCTTCATGCACTAGGACTTTGACTGAGGAGGCTGCAGCTCCCAGAGGAGACCAGTGGCTCTCTCCAAGGTCTTCAGCAAAGGGGTCAGAAGACAGCAGAGGAACACAGAGGCTAGAGCTACTTTCAGTGGCTTTTTAGATAGTACTGTGAAAATTGAGATTGCATCTGGGACTGCAGTTTCGCTTACATGAAGATGATACTCATGTCCATTTTTTATTGGTAATATGGTGACATTGTTAATATATATACTTGTGTGCAGTTATAACCAGTATATTTAACGTTCCCCCACCATATTACATATCTGTGTTGCACAAATAAACTGTGCCATTAATTTGAAGCAGAGAATTGAATCCTGTCATGGTAAACAGTGTGGGGTGGTTTCATGGTTTGAGAGTTTCTTTATCATCAGTAGTTGCTGATCCTTGGTGATACTTCCAAGTGAAGAGCCTTCCTCCATTTCCTCAGGGAAAAAGTGGCGAATCTTCAAGGAGTGGTAATGACTTGCCAATGTTAACAGATAAAAGAGACAGAGTGATAAAAGAATTCTAAGTCTAAGGTGTTAGAAGCGAGATCTTCTGATTCTGAGGTATAAATAGGACCAATGTGAGCAATTTTGTTAGCAGGTTTTATTGAAAATATGCCACCGTGGTCTTTAGGAGGTAGCTTGCTTTGGGTGGTGGGGATAGATTGAGTTGTAACTTCCTGTCAACAGCTAAAACAGTCCTGCATGGCACCCCCATGCAATTTCACCGAACAAAGAAACTCTCTTTGCTGCTCCTAAGACAAATCATAGAAATGCAAACAGGCCTTGTGCCGTGTTCAGACATATCCAACAAGAGTCTGACATTCTTTATAAAGTTATCCAACTCCATCCAGAACTGAAAGATTTTCATTGCTCTCATAGCTTCTCTCATTCATATTGCAGAAAGTTTTTTAAAAAAATCATACAAAATACAAGGATGATAAATATACAATTACATATGGCTTGAGCTAACCGGAGGCAACTAAAGGAGGACACACATCAAAACTACCCCCGTCCCACCGTTGGGACTTTGCAGAGTTATGCGGCCACTGCCAGATCCACAGCCCTGCTGTTCACATTAGCCATAGCAGAATATGGAGATCCAGAATGACCTGGTCCGAGTCTGTTGCTTGACTGCAGCAAGACTGGCTCAGGATACAGCAGTCACTGGGCCAGCTCAGCCACGCCCCTGCCCTCAGAATGCCCCAATTGGGGCTCTCCATTGGCTCCTGCACACCCAGCAGGTAGAAGGTGATGTCAGCTGAGCCGAGAGAGCCAGGCAGGGGGACGTCTCTGCCTAATCCAACCCCGTTCCCTAGCTCAGTGGAAATGGGGGTTGGATTGCTTTGTGTATCATCACTGGCTTATTAAAATACCTGTCTGACCTCTTTAGACTCTCAGATGAGGCCAAATATTATTGCTCAAAATGTGAAATAAATTTGCCTTGTTATAATATCCTACTACACGAACATTTAACACACCATTGTTTTCTATATGATGAAATTCTGGGAGACTGAACCAATGGAAGGGAAAGAGCAGGGAGCCATTCCCCACTGGCAGAGACAATACTTGGCCATTATATGGCACTTCTGAGTGTTAGGCCAGTGCTATTTATTGCACTGGTATTACAGATTTGCAGCTGAGAATGAGAAAAAGTAACATGCCTAATGAGAGCAAAAGTATATGTGGCTTTAAATGTTTTATTATATTGAATGAAAATGCATTCTTAATGGAAATAGATGTCATTGGGGGAGCAGGATCATGACCATGGGTGCAGAGACAGTATCAATGGGACCTTTCTTCTTCTCAGTGCAAATAATGAAGTGGGTTAGGATTTTTCTTGCAACTCTGCTTCTGCTGTCCCATCCAAGGGATCTATTTCCATTTTTAAATGCAATAAATCATTTAATGTCACCAAAGTTTGTGGCAAGAGCCAAAATTCAAATTACAGATCTCATGCCTATCAGCTCACATACTTGGCCAATAAACTAGATGAGTTCTTACTTAGTATACAGGTTTAATTCCTGATATCTCCAGTTTTTTAAAACATCTAATAAAACTAGGCTGAGAAACACCTGAGTTACCACCTACTGCTCATAAGGCTGGAAAATACTAATTAGATAGATTATTGACCCTGTTTAGTAAACACACAACTGATCTATCCATAGGAGTAAAGACATAAACTATTTCAGACACAGAATTAGAGGGCAATAAATAAAAGTTCAAATATTTTGGGAAGCCTGGATTTTCCACAGATACTATTATTTGAGAACTAAATAACCTTTCCAAGAGGCAAGAAGGTCAAGAAAGAAGCTCCAAAAGAAGCATTCAATTTAAACAAGATAACCATCACAATCATGCAAAAATTGCTGAACAAGAAAATATATGAATATCTCTAATATTTGTCTCATGGTTGCTCTTTAAGCACTTAAGCTCTTGTGGGACAAGCTGTTTACAATTCTCCTATCTCTACACGCATTTGCTTGCGACAGAAACAACCACATATACAAAAAGTAAACTATGTGAACTCCCAAACCTCATTTTATCTGAAGAGAACAAGTATAAATGAGAGAATATGTCTCCAGTTCCATTTCTTCAGAACAAGTGCAAACAAATAATATAAATGGCATTAATGTCTAACTGAAAATATAAAGTGAAAAACCTTTGATTTGATAGCAAGACTTCACCTGTATATTGGCTGAATCCCCATTACTGTTTGCAATCTCTTCAGCAATGAGAAAGGGATCATTTATCTCACAGGGCTGGTGACTGGTCATAGTATTGGAAATATTTCCCTTGGGAAATCCGAAATTGCTCTTCCTAGAGTCTGTAGTGAGAGAAACCTCCTGGCAGTAGGAGTGCAGAAATGCTCGGACTCCGTCAATCCCCACAAACTGTGAAACTGGAACTCCACTAAACTTCTCAGTTCCAGACTGTGAATATCTCCACCTATGAAGTTTAACTGCCAGTAACACAAGGAGGAAGATGAAGAACAAGCAGGAGACAAAAGCCACTGCAAGGACCAGGTAGAAGGTGAGGTCAGATGGAGGATCTACAGGAGCTGAGATGCTGCTCAGGTCTGAGAGGACTGCAGGGATGGTGTCAGCCAGCACCACAGTCAGAGTGGCTGAAGCAGAGAGAGGTGGCTGCCCATTGTCCTTGACTAAAACCACCAGGCTTTGCTTGAGGGCATCTTTCTCCAGAAAGAAGCGGGCCGTCCTGATCTCTCCCGTGTGGAGCCCCAGAGTGAAGAGCCCTGGCTCGGTGGCCTTGATCAGCTGGTAGGAGAGCCAGGCATTCTGGCCAGAGTCCGCATCCACGGCCACCACCTTAGTGACCAGGTAGCCTGGCTCTGAGGAGCGAGGGGCCAGCTCTATCCCCGTGGAGCCATCAGTGGGAGGGGAGGGGTACAGGATTTGGGGAGCGTTGTCATTCTGGTCCAGGATGAAGAGAGTCACTGAGACGTTGGAGCTGAGTGGTGGAGAACCTCCATCCTGGGCCTTGACCAGGAACTTCATCTCCCTCATCTCCTCATAATCAAAAGAGATCAGGCCATAGACAGTCCCAGTCTCAGAGTTAATGGAGAGGAAGGAAGATACTGGGGAGTCACTGATGTTGTGCTCAATGATGGAATAAGTGACTCTGGAGTTCTCTCCACAGTCTGGATCATCAGCCTTCAGGGAAAATATGGAGGCCCCTCTTGGGTTGTTCTCCATTAAATACGAAGTATAAATGGATTGCAGGAAGTGTGGAGGGTTGTCGTTTGTGTCTAAAATCTCAAGTGGAATAACAATTGATGTGGAAAGTGGAGGGGTCCCGTGATCCGTGACTGTGACAGTGATGTTGTAGGCTGCCACCTGCTCTCTGTCCAGGGCTCTTGCTGTCACCAAACTGTAGTAGTTGCCATAGGCTTTTGTCAGTAGAAAGGGGAGGTTGCTGGGGATAGAGCATGTGACTTCTGTATTCTCTGCCGAATCCTCATCTTGCACATTCAGAAGGGCTATTGCAGTCGCTGGTGGAGAGTTCTCAGGGATGGAGCTGATAAGTGAAGTTATTTCCAGTTTGGGTGCATTGTCATTTACATCAGTAACAAATACTATGACAGTTGATCTGTCCAACAGACCTCCACCATCACGGACCTGGACCTCAATTTCATGAAGAGCAGAGTCCTCATAATCTAAACTTCCTATGAGAGTTAGTGCACCTGTGTGTTTATCTAAGTGGAATAGCTGGGAAGCCTTTTCCGTGATTTCTGCAAACGAAAATGTCATTTCTTTGTTGGTCCCCTCATCCAGATCAGTAGCTTTTAATGTAACCACAATGGTTCCTAGAGGTAAATCCTCCCTTGCGCTCACTTCATAGATGCGTTGGCTAAAAATGGGTGCATTGTCATTCGCATCCAAGACTGTAATGTGCAGCTGTGCAGTGCCACTCCTGACTGGATCACCACCATCATATGCGGTGAAGATAAGATTATGAACTGCTTCTTTTTCATGGTCCAGAGGTCTTTCCAACACAATTTTTCCATATTGTTTGCCCTTAACTGATGTTTGGAGAATCAAAGAAAAATGGCTATTGTTGCTGAGTTTGTACCCCTGTAGAGAATTGTTTCCTAAGTCAGGATCTTGAGCTTCCAAGAGGGGAAACTGGGACCCCAAAGCTGCATTCTCGCTGATATTTATCACTAATTTCTCTGACGGGAAGGTGGGCGCATGGTCATTGATATCTGTGACTTCCACTTCAACTCCATAAATTTTCATTGAATCTTCAACTATAATCTCAAAATTCAAAATACATTTCTCTTCCTGACCACAGATCTCCTCTCTGTCTATTCTCTTTGTGGTGTGCAAATGGCCACTCTTATAATTCAAAGCAAAATACTGAGTCCTACCTGGGGAAACAATGCGAATTCCACGATCTGAGAGCTCCTTTGCGTCCAGTCCAAGATCCCTTGCAATATTCCCCACCAAAAAGCCTCTCTCAGTTTCTTCAGGAATGGAGTACTGGATCTGTCTGGTGATGGCTTGGCAGATGTTAGCAAAGAGAAATAAAAAGAAAACTCTCCTTTTGCAAGCTTGAGGATACTTTGCTGTTGCCATTCCTGGTCTGATATGAAGCTGCTGGGGAGATCTGTGATTCAGGATGACGGAGTGTTGCCAGAAAGGGTCTTGCAGCTGAGATTCCCAAAGCAAAAATGTTCACTGAAACTCTGATCTCTCAGCATTTTCTGAGCTGAGCAGCTCATATGGGAAGGATGAATTTCTCAGTGCATTTCTTAGCCTTGGTTGGTCAACAGCGACACTCAGAGTCACAGCTAGGAACTGCACACACTACATTTTTTGTTTCGATTCTCATTGTATATCCAACTCCATGTATATATATATATTTAAAAATAATGAGAAATATTTAAATACAATGCACAAATTAATTACTAACCTGTTTTATCACTGAATGTCATGCTTGTGTTTCCTTGCTCTATCAATTTAATGCATTTATTTGCGTCAATACACAAGACATATAATAGGATCACAGATTTGGAAAGCACCACGAAGGTGATCTAGTCCAATCCCCTGCAATTCAGGAATCTTTTTGTCCCACATGGGGCTCAAACCCACATCCCTGAGATTAAAAGTCTCATACTCTACTGGCTGAGCTATCCCACATAAGCTGGAATGCTGCTGATGTGCACACTGTTTCACAGATAAACAAAACCAAGTGATTATTTATTTTAATTTATCATGAAACACCAAGTTATGCCTTATAAGCGTAGAAGTGGATTCTTATTCGCTAGAAAAGGAGAGAACCCCAATAACCAACAAGTCAGTTAAATCTCCCTTGGTAAGATTAAGTTTTCTACATAGGTATGTAATGTGCAACTCCACAGTTACCGCATAAACAAGTATGGAAATTTGTACATAGGAATCCTAATGTTAGATGAAAATCATGAAAATCTTATGTTTTCATGCATTTTCCCTAGCTCTTGGAACATTGACTCCTAAATATATTTTATTTTAAAAACATTTTTACTGGAAATATGTATGTCTTTTCAAGGCTTAATACATCACAGCATCTACTAGGAATTCCTCACAAAACATTATGAGGGCGGGTGAGGGGAGGGAACTTGTAAAATAATTTCAAAGTAAAACATTCTAAAAAAAAAATTATATGAAAAATGCAAACTAATGGATGCTTAATTAAACATTTTCTGAAAATTTATTTATTATAATTATTTTCTTCAGCAGAAGGGCTGGAATAATTCTTTTTTGAATCTTTCCTAAGTTGTTAGCTGTCTGTCGATCAGCATTTACGGAATGCATGTGTCCAGAACAGAAGACAAGTTCTTCTCGGTCCCTAGTAGGAATCTGGCTACTCCAAGAGTTCTCCTGTAAATGCAAACTACACATGGTCCAGCTCTTTTGCGCCACAGCATCACAATGCTGACTCATATAACAGTATTCATCTAGCGTCTGCTCCCTCTGTCTTTCAGAAGTGCTATTTTCTGTGCTTTTGATTATAGTTTCCTTACACGTCCTTACAGTTTAATCTTTACAATCTGCCAAATTCTGGAGGTAAAGAACATTTTCAGAGCATCTCATGCATCTTTTTCTTTCTTTCTTTCTTTCTTTCTTTCTTTCTTTCTTTCTTTCTTTCTAGGGTACAATAAGCAGCAATGTTAAGATCTCTCCTGCTTCTACTTAGGCAGTGGTGGGTCATAAAAATCTGTTCACTGGTATTAGTTCCATAGCAGACTCTGCCTTCTGCCTCCTACTTGCTGGTGCCATGCAGAGCTCCTTCTGAAGCATTTGCTCCCCTGTGACCAGAGCAGGATCCAACCACCAGTGCAGGAACAATTACAGAAATAAGTTTGTTGGACATCATATGCTGTGTACACCTGTAGCCTCTGAAATGCACAGGTGAATTCCCCCCCATCCACTTTTGTACATAGTTGTTTGCAGTGCTTCTTCTTCTTTTCTTTTTTTACAAAGAGAGGTGAAGGAACTCCCAAAGCTGTTGAGCTTCTTTTTGGGAACCATCAAAAACACACGCCACACCAACTACCTTAAAAAGAGCCCAAAACACTCACCACGCCAAGCCCCAATCCATCCCAGGTCTGCCGGAACGCTCAGGAGAGGTGCTACTGAAAAAAAGACCTGGTTGTTTGCAATTTCACACACCTTTGTGCAATAACATCATCCAAAGTAGCAGCTACTCTCTCTGTTGTCTGTACACAGGTGGGCATGTTTTCAAACTAGTGTGTAATGGAGTTCTGTGTTCCCCTCCCCATAGCCAGTATTTCCTATTTCCACATACCCCCCCTTAAAAAAAAAAGCATATATTTTTCAGTCTTTTGAGAAACTGATGTATTGACGTACATATAGGGTGTGTGTGTGTGTGTGTGTGTGTGTGTGTGTTTGGAGAGCTAAATTGCTGAACTGCTCTGTTTTTTTGCCTATTTCATTCACAAACAAATTAAACAAGTGGCACAGCCATGCAACATCAGTAGATCTGCTCCAATAGGAGGTGACCTAAGAAAGCATTCTTGGTCTACACATGCATGCAGCAAGTGCTTGAGAAGTACAATCTTGGCACAAAACAGATTATAACCATTCCAGAAGGATACACTTCAAATGACAAATAGTGTGGGACAGGGCTGACATAGGAATGACGTGTGCACAGCACCCCCAAAAGGCGCATCTGAATCCGGCACTGAATGTACATTATCATGCAGTTTGTACACACCATTACTGGTATATTTGAACTCATATACTCTAGATGAAGGAGGATGTCAAAGGACTGCTAGATTAGAGACTTTAGTAATTAAGTAGTATATGAAAATACCTTAAATAAAAAGATCAGGAACTGAGAAAAATAGAAAGACAAAATAAGAGTGTGCTATAAGAAATCAAGATATCTAATTCAGAAGGATTTTATGATACTGTAGATGTTTCCTTGGAAAATAACGGAAGTAGTTTGATTTTGATTTATCCACATTAATGGTAATAGCCCCCATTATTGTTCTGTATAATAGCCCACAAGATGCAATTTCCCCCCATTAATTAATTTCATTAAATTTTCATCTTACGGTCTGTCCCACAACACCACACAGCATACCCATGCACAGAATTCCATTCCATAAAAACATAAGAACAGCCCTGCTGAATCAGGCCAATGACCTATCCAGTCAAGCATCCAGTCTCCCACAGTGGCTGGCCAGATTCCTCTCAGAAGCTCCATTCTTGGACCACAGCAACTAAAATCAGGGGCACAATGCCTCTGGGACTAGAGGTAATATTGCCACCATTGACTACAAACCAGTCATGGCTTTATCCACCATAAATTTCTTTATTAAATTTACATCTTGCCATTTTTCCTGTAGGAGCCCTCATATGATCTAATTCTCCTTAAAGCCACCAAGTTGGTGGTGATCACTGCATCTTGTAGTAGCAAATTCCATAGCTGAACTATAAGGTGAACTATAAATTACATTGTTATAAAGAACAAAGAAACATAACATAAGAAGAAGCCTGCAATATTGGCCCAAAGGTGGAGCTTGTCCAGCACTCATGGAGGCCACCAGAAGCCCATGGGAAGCCCCCAAGCAGAACATGAGCACAGCAGCACTGCCACCACCTGTGATTCAATGAAACTCATACTCACAGGCATATAGCCTCTGGCAGTGGAGGCAGAACCTAGACATCATGGTTAGTAGCCATGGAATTTGTGTAAACCGCTTTTAAAGCCATTCAGGCTGTGGGCTATCACAGCCTCTTGTTAGTTATGAGAGAGAGAAAACTTTTCTATTTCTGCATTTTCCACACTATGCTGAAATTTATGCCTCTCCATTATGTCCTTCCTTATTTGCCTTTTCTCCCCTAAACTTAAAAATAAAAAATGTCATAACCTTTTTTCATAGGGGAATTACTCCACCCACCTGTCATTGTGCTTGCTCTTTCCTGAACATTCTTCAGTTTTATTTTTAATTCCTTTCCTAACAATTTCTACCATGGTTTTCACCTTTTCCACATCTGTTTTACACTGTGTCAATATCTTCATCAAGCTATCCACTATGACTCCAGGATCTTGTTCCTAGTCAGTCACCGCTGATGACAAAATATGTGGAAAAAAGATTTCTTTGCACTTTCTTACATGGGGTCTTACATTGAATTGCTGTTACCTTATTATTGATATCTACATTAGTACGGAAAACTCAAATTCACTGCACTCTTCCATTTCATTCATAATTACTAGAAGTTAAATCATAACAACAGGGACGCGGGTGGCGCTGTGGGTTAAACCACAGAGCCTAGGACTTGCCGATCAGAAGGTCGGTGGTTTGAATCCCCGCGACAGGGTGAGTTCCTGTTGCTCGGTCTCAGCTCCTGCCAACCTAGCAGTTTGAAAGCACGTCAAGTGTAAGTAGATAAATAGGTACCGCTCCAGCGGGAAGGTAAACGGCGTTTCCGTGCGCTGCTTTGGTTCGCCAGAAGTGGCTTAGTCCTGCTAGCCACATGACCCGGAAGCTGTACGCCAGCTCCTTTGGCCAATAAAGTGAGATGAGCGCCGCAACCCCAGAGTCGGCCACGACTGGACCTAGTGGTAATATAATTTCATGTTTTTCTGGTTCTCTCATGTACTAAATCAGGTAGGTAAGAGGAAGACAAGCTAAAAATATTAGTTTTACTCAGTGCAATTTGTCTAGGCAAAGAGGCGCCTGCCTTGTTATAATGGCAAAAGAGCCTACCTGAGAGGTGCCAGAACTGAGTTCTGGTGCATTCAGACAGAAAGAAAGGTCTGGTTTTACTCCTACAAGGAGCAAGCCTGTGCTGCCAACATCACAGTTCTGAAAGCAAAGCTTACCTGCTCACCAACCTCCTCTTTGGCATTGGCATCCCCACAGTTGCCATCCACAAGAACCACCTGAGAGCTATCATTGCATAGCAAGTTTTCTGCCACCTGGATATGGGGTTTCGGGAAAGAGATCTGCTCTTTCCTCATCTCTGTTGATAGGCAGAGTTGGTAGGAATAAGGTAAAGTTCCTTCTTCATAGTTTGGTGGAAATATGACCTGCGCCTTAGAAAAAGCATTAGGTTCAAAGCACTGGAATAATTTGGGATTTCCTGATTGTCGAAGTTTCATGACAATGACCAGTATCACTGTCAGGAGGAACAAAAATGAGATCAATGCCAAAGCCAGCACCAAGTAAAACTGGAGGTCAGAATGATGCTCTGTGTCACTGGATTGCCTAGTCATTTCCGGAAGTGCCTCTTGGAAGTTCTCGGCAATCACAAGGTTGAGGACCACAGTAGCTGAGAGTGGAGCCTTGCCATTGTCCTTCACCAAGATGACCAGCTTCTGTTTCACAGCATCTTTCTCCAGAAGGGCTCGTGACGTCCTGATCTCTCCCGTGTGGGTCCCAATGGTGAAGAGGGCCGGCTCTGTGGCCTGCAGCACTTGGTAGGAGAGCCAGGCATTGTGCCCAGAGTCCGCGTCCACAGCCACCACTTTGGTCACTAGGTAGCCTGGCTCTGCCGAGTGAGGAACCATCTCAAACAAGGCAGAGCCCTCGGCGCCTGGAACAGGATACAGAACGCGAGGGCTGTTATCGTTCTGATCCAAAATGTACACCCACACAGTTGCGTTGTTGCTGAGAGAGGGAGAGCCGCCATCTTGGGCCTTCACTTGGATCTGAAACTCCCGGAATTGCTCATAGTCAAAGGAGCGCTGTGCATAGATAGTTCCAGTCTCAGAGTTGATGGAGACGTAAGAGGAGAGAGGCAGCTCCTCCATGTTGCTGTTGCGGATGGAGTAAGTGATACGTGAGTTGCGGTCCAGATCCGGGTCTGAGGCTTTGATGGCAAAAATGGAGGCACCTGAGGGATTGTTTTCAGGCACAAATACACTGTAGGTTGATTTTTCAAAGGCAGGGGGGTTGTCATTGATATCTGAAATCTGCAGGGAGATGGTTTTGTTGGAGGAGAGAGGGGGGCTACCTTTGTCGGTGGCCGTGATTGTGATGTTGTATCCTGAGGCTTTTTCTCTGTCCAAAGGACTGTCTGTAAGGATTTTGTAGTAGTTCTTAGATACAGACTCTATTTTAAATGGTACGTTACCTTGTAGATGGCATGTAATTTTTCCATTTTCTCCAGTATCTTTATCCTTTACGTTGATGAGAGCTATTACTGTTCCAGAAACAGAGTCTTCAGGAACTGGACTAGATAAGGAGGCCAGAATGATTTCTGGAGCATTGTCATTCTCATCTATAATCTTTATATCAACATTACAGTGAGCCACTAATCCTCCTCCATCTCTTGCTTCAACTGCCATAGTGTACTTCTCTGTTTCCTCAAAGTCAAGGGTCTCCTTAATTGTAATTGTTCCACTTTGTGGATCTAGTTCAAATATTTGGTGGGCTGTTTCTGGGATGTTATTAAAAATATAACTAATATGTGCATTTAGACCTTCATCCCTATCAGAGGCTTTTACTTGGAGTATTGGGGACCCCACAGGGGAATTTTCCCTCAGGCTAACTGTATAAACTTTTTGAGTGAAGACTGGTGGGTTATCATTGGCATCTGTGACATTAATCCATATCTGGGCAGTCCCAGTTTTTCTGGGTTCACCCCCATCAAGAGCCGTAAGGATCAACTGAAGCGAGTGCTCCCTTTCCCTATCCAAAGATTTTTGCAGCACCAGTTCTGTATATTTATGGCCATCTTCTCTCTGTAGTATGTCTAGAATGAAATAGTGATTTGGACTTAGCTGGTAATTCTGGAGAGAATTAATACCAATATCAGGATCTTCAGCTTTCCCAAGGAGAAATCTGGCACCTGGTAATGTGGATTCAATTATTTGAAGCCCAATATTGCCCTTTATGAATTGTGGGGCGTTATCATTAATGTCCTGAATTGCTACACTTACATGGAAAACATTCAATGGCTTTTCCACCACAGCTTCAAAATCAATAATGCAGTGTGTGCTCTCTCTACACATTCCCTCACGATCTATCCTCTCATTCACATACAGGTTTCCATTTTCAGCATTGATAGTGAAATATGGCTTTTTACCTTCAGAAAGGATATGCAGGTTTCTGCTCTTCAGTTCTCTGGCATTTAGTCCCAGATCCTTGGCAAGATTTCCCACCAAAGATCCCTTTGCCATCTCCTCAGGGATAGAATAGTGAACCTCTTCCAAAACTGCTCCACAGAACAAAGATGATAATATCAGAAGGGTAATATACCTTCCTGGTGTTTGAAAGCTCTTTCCATGAAGGATTCCTCTTCTCTTCATTTTCCTCTTCCCTTTGATGAGCACAGGATTTCAGATTTCCACCAAGACAGGAGATTTCACCCCAGTAAAAAAAAGAACTGGATCCTTCGGTTTAATTTGTATATGCTGCAGTGTTTTCTGTTTTCAGCTGAAACGTTTGTTCCAGCGTCTGCTGACATTCCCGATGTGCAGTTTGGGACAAAGAGATCTCTCTGCAGAAAGCATCAGTGGAACTTCAGCTGCCCTTGGATTGCCGCCTTGTCCAACAGTGACACTGTGAGTCTGAAGCAGAGAACTGCAATCTTTTCCCAGTGATTTTTCTCTCCTAATTCATGACATTTGTGTTTTGTTTGTGTTATCTTTTCACTAGTATAACAGGTTGAAAAAAAATCAACTTCAAAGGAGTATTTGCAGTAAAGAACAAGCAATAAAAACACAGTATAGAGTCATTTCCTCAATTTACAGCACTTACAATTGTTACCTAGAATATCAATCTGTAAACCTCTATATGAGAAAAATTGAATTTCTCTAGTGGATTTCTCTATGAAGTGTTACGATGTATAAAAAAAAAGACGATGGGAGAATTGAGGAAATTATTTTATTCAAGGTTTTAAAAACCTCCAAGGAAGGAGAGATAGAATGATGAAATCTTAGAGTTGGAAGTGACCTCAGGGGTCATCTAGTCCAACCCCCAGCAATGCAGGAATCTCATCCATGGCAGATGGCCATCCAACCTCTGTTTATAAATTGAATTAAGTGCAATTCAAGTGTTCAATGTGCTTTAAGTGTCTTCAGCTGGTGTAGTGTAAGAAACAGAATAGTAATGCAGTTTGTGTCTTGCATTTGGCATGAACTCAGCAGGTTCCTTTAAGTAAGCCACACTTCCCCCAAGGCTCTTCCTGCACTATGGGAATAATTGCACTAATACTATATAATATCATACATTGTAAGTATTATAACACGGGAAGTAACGTAGCTGTTCTGACAAATCCTGGATATTTGAGGAACTTTACTTAGCTTTAGCTCCAGACTTAGCCTGCAATCTTTTGCACTGCACTGGTGGTGGTAGGGTTTGGATTGGTTGGAGCTGTTCCTCTGCCAAGCTCTACCAGCCTCCACTGGCCTCTACCCACAGGGGGTCATTCTGCTGGGGCAGAATTGCCTGTTCCCTCTGCCAAATGTATGCTTGGTTAGTAGTCATGCCAGTGGGATCTCCACTCATGGCAGCTGATGAAAGATTCTGAAAGGGGCAAGGACAGGGAGAGACAGGAGCCAGTCCCACTACTGTCCCGTGGTGGCACTGGGCCTGATGTGGGTCTAAGTGAGGTGCCCCTCCACCTTCTGCCCAGACCAGCAGCAATGCTGCGGATGTGACAGTGGTCTCTTTGCTCTGTTATGCCTCACAATGCCCAAGCCAGGATTTGGATAGCAGCCTTAGTCATGGTTATAGCTGATCCACGAAAATCAATGTGGTTTAACTCAGTAATAGCTAACTTGTCAAGTTGATTTCAGTGCTTCAGCTCTATGTATGGCCAAGTCTGGATCCAGCCCACTATATACATAACCCTACTTAAAACATATACCTTCCAAGATAACCACAATTCACATTTCTTCAGCAAAAGCAGCGTCTAAGCAGTTTACAACTATAAAATAAATATGATCAACTAGTTGTGCATAAAGGGCTTTAATGTATCTCCAGCTAAATAATCGATATCCACGCTCTACTCTAGAAGACCACTGCCAATTAGTCTTGACCTGGTGGCGGATTTTATATCACACATACTGAAACATGATTGAACTACACAATACAGGTAAAAAGTGTGGTCTATGTTTGCTTCCACACCCCAGCATGAAGCCAGACACAGTGGATGGATTTGACTATGTGCCACAACTTATTTACTTACAAGTCTGATATAAAAAAGGTAAAGGTAAAGGAACCCCTGACCATTAGGTCCAGTCGTGACCGACTCTGGGGTTGCGGCGCTCATCTCGTTTTATTGGCCGAGGGAGCCAGCGTACAGCTTCTGGGTCATGTGGCCAGCATGACTAAGCCACTTCTGGCGAACCAGAGCAGCGCATGGAAACACCGTTTACCTTCCCGCCGGAGCTGTACCTATTTATCTACTTGCACTTTGACATGCTTTCGAAATGCTAGGTTGGCAGGAGCAGGGACCGAGCAATGGGAGCTCACCCCGTCGCGATATACAAGTCTGATATACATATAAGGCTACTTCTACAACCTCAGTGTTGACATACTTAATGCGAAGATGGAGGCTAGGAACTGTCTTTTCTGCCAGGCACATTAAACAGTTGTTGCCATTCTGTGTCCAAGTATTGGATCAATATCGAAACTGGTCTTTTCTCTTCAGTGCCCTCCCCCCCAGCTCCACTGAGTGCAAATGAGGACCTTTAGGTATCATCAGCCCTGAGCCAGTAAGTGCTAAAGTCAATGAGTCATCAGTACAGACGAGTAATTGCCATCACCAGATTCCCCCAAACTGGTAAGAGATTGGTTTGGGTAACTCTCCTTTCAGGTCTTGGGCTGCCCACTATGGGATCCTCATGCTTTCTAACCTACATAGCACTTGCCAGTTGTGGCACATTTAAAAAGAATGGCTGGGGTCCAAATACAGCCAGTCTTTAATTATTGACTGCCTAGCAGATGTTAAAGCTCCTGTCATTCATCCTCTCATTCGGCCAATTTAGCAACAAGAACAAAATACTACCATTCAGCCCCAACTGGGAACTGATAGATCCTGCCTTGTTTGAAGCTAGAAGGAGAAGGCCAGATACTGCCATGCCAAACAGAGGCCTAGAGATGGTGCCACCATGCCCACCCCAACTGTCCACAGAGGCAGCATTGAGAACATGCTGCACAATTTACACCTCCAAAAGATTAAAGTAAAAGCATCTTCTGTGGAGTTCAAAGATACACATAAAAAGGTTGCATCCACATTACACATGACCTCCTACATTAAAACAATGGGTTAAGCATTGCATCCAGTGCTCAATTAAATACCAACAATTTGATCAGTGAAATCCAATCTGCACTGTTAAATGAAACAGGGAAACTCTAGATCCGAACCATGATGTCAAAGTACTTTGTACAATGTTCTTCAACATGAACCACAAGTAGCCTATTCAGACTTTTGTAAGGACTCTAGTATATCCGAAATTAAAATCATTTTAGACCTAGTGAAGCCATATCATATTATTTTAAATCCAGGTAGCTACAATGCACTACTGGTGAAAAATGATACATTGTACTCCAATAACTGAATGTTGTAGTTGACCATTCTTGATTCAAAAGGAATTCAAAAGAAGGGGGCTATGATTATAAAATAGAAGCATCAGCACATTGCTCCCACCCCATGAAATGATCAGAAAATAATTATCTTCCTCATTTACTATATTTTTTAATGTTCAAGCTACTTATGCTGGAAAGCTGGAATACAGTCGTACTTTGGATCCCGAACACCCTGGAACTCGGAAGTTTTGGCTCCCGAATGCCGCAAACCCGGAAGTGATTGTTCCGGTTTGCATACATTTTTTTGGAACCCAAATGTCCAGTGGGGGTTCTGAGACTTCTGATTGGCTGCAGGAGCTTCCTACAGCCAATCAGAAGCTACAATTTGGTTTTCAAAGGTTTTGGAAGTCAAACGGACTTCCAGAATGGATTCTGTTTGACTTCCAAGGTAGGACTGCACAATCTGGGAGTAAGCCCTATTGAACTCAATAGCACACAACTGCCATACAGAAAGAAGTATACCTTCTCAATTATATAATAAAAACGTCGGCACATTCCACACCCACTCATAAGATTAAATAAGCAATATATATATCCATTTCACTTCATTTAATTTCATGTTCCCACTATTCAAATTCCAAAGCTTAAATCCTAAGCACTCTTACCTGACAGAAAGTCACAATGAATTCAACAGGACTCACATCTGGGTAGATATGGTTAGGATTGAACTAGAAATCTCAAAATGCAATGGAGAAAATAGACTATACCTGCAACAGGTAGTTTAGCCTCAGCTGTTTACTATATATAAAGAAGATGATGATTCATGAATCTAGATGGAAAATTAACTAAAGTCTGAAAAATGAAAAGGCAAGTACATATGATGTATAAAAGGTTGTATTGAAATGTCACTTAACGGTAAAGAACTACAGAGTGTACCATGCATGTAACTGCAGAGAACAAATCTTACCTCTTCACCATTAGCCATCTCAGACTGAAAATTGTTTCCACTGTTGCCTGTAAAAGGCACAGCAGGTTTCTCACTGCCAAGAATATTGTCTAGTATCTGAACATTGGGTGTCATGAAGGCAAACTCATTCTTCCTGGTCTCAGAAGACAGACACAGCTGGTAGGAATAGGGCAAAGTCCCATCTTCAAAGTTGGGTGGGAAGATGGCACCATTCTTGGAATGGGGAACAGGACCAAAGCACTGTAGGAACCTGGGATGCCCTGATTGACGGAGCTTCATTGTAACGGCCAGAATCACAGTCAAGAGGAACAAGAAGGAGATCACAGCTAAGGCCAGCACCAAGTAGAACTGCAGGTCAGACTGATACTCCGAGCCGCTGGGTTGGCTCTTCATTTCCGGAAGGGCCTCCTGAAAGTTCTCAGCAAACACCAGGTTCAGAGTCATGGTGGCCGAGAGAGACGGCTGCCCGTTATCCTTCACCATAATGACCAGTCTCTGTTTCACAGCGTCTCTCTCCACAAAGGCCCTGGAGGTCCTGATCTCTCCAGTATGAGAACCAACCGTGAAGAGTGCCGGCTCAGTGGCCTGAGTCAGGTGGTAGGAGAGCCAGGCGTTGTGTCCAGAATCTGCATCCACGGCCACCACCTTGGTGACAAGATAATCTGCCTCGGCCGAACGAGGCACCATCTCAAACAAGGCTGAGCCCTTGGCTTCTTTGGAGGGGGACAGGATAAGATGGCTGTTATCATTCCTGTCAAGAACATACACCAGGACGGTCACATTGCTGCTGAGAGGGGGAGAACCCCCATCTTGGGCCTTCACTTGCACCCGAAACTCTCTGAATTGTTCATAGTCAAAGGCTCTCTGGGCATAAATGGTGCCGGTCTCTGAATTAATGGAGATATAGGAGGAGATGGGAAGCTCCTCGATGTTGCTGTTGAGGATGGAGTAAGTGATCTGTGAGTTCTGGTCCACATCGGGATCAGAGGCTTTGATGGTGAAAATGGAGGCACCTGAAGGATTGTTTTCTGGCACGTAGATGTTGTATGAAGATTTCTGAAATGTAGGGGTATTATCATTGACATCTGAGATCTGTAGAGAGATTGTTTTGTGTGTGGAAAGAGGCGGAGTTCCTTTGTCAGTGGCTGTGATTGTAATATTATATGCAGGAGCTTTTTCTCTGTCCAAAGGGCTGACTGTCAGAAGTTTGTAGAAATTGTTAGATGAGGAAATAATCTTGAAGGGCAAATCACTGTTTAAATAGCAGGTAACTTTTCCATTATCACCGGCATCTTTGTCATTTACATTGATCAGAGCAATTAAGGTTTCAGATGGTGAATCTTCAGGAACTGGGCTGAACATGGAGGTTAAGGTCACATCCGGGGCATTATCATTCTCATCAAGAACCCTTATCTCAATATTGCAATGAGTCACCAATCCTCCGCCATCTTTTGCAGCAACCGTCATAGTATATTCATCGTTGTCCTCAAAATCCAGTCGCTCCAAGAGGGTGATTATGCCACCAATGGGATCTAGACTGAATTTCTCTTGGGAAGTTGCTGGTATGTTGCTGAAATAATACCTGATTTGGGCATATGAACCTTCATCATCATCAGAGGCTATGACCTGGAGCACCGTGGATCCAATAGGAGCATTTTCACTCAAACTGACCTTGTACACCTCTTGAGTGAAAATGGGAGGGTTGTCATTGGCATCAGTGATATTAATCCGTATCTGGGCTGTTCCAGTTTTCCTAGGCTCACCCCCATCCATTGCGGTAAGTACTAAGTGAAGGGTTTGTTCTTTTTCCCGATCCAAAGATTTCTGCAGCACCAGTTCTGCATATTTATTTCCATCTTTTCTCTCTCTAACTTCCAAATTGAAGTACTGATTGGAGCTCAGCTGGTAATCCTGTAGGGAGTTCATCCCAATGTCAGGATCTTCCGCTTTCCCAAGGAGAAATCGAGTGCCTAGCAGAGTGGATTCAAGGATCTCTAAATTGATATTGCTATTCAGGAACTGGGGCGCATTATCATTAACATCCTGGATTTCTACTGTTACATGGAAAACATTCAGCGGGTTTTCTACCACAACTTCAAACTGAACAAAGCAAAGTGGATTTTTGCCACATATCCCCTCCCTATCAATCCTGTCATTTACATAGAGGTTTCCATTCTCTGCATTGATACTGAAATGCTGCATTTTAGCCACAGACACAGTGTGCAGATTGCGATGTTTTAGTTCTTTGGTGCTCAGTCCCAGGTCCTTGGCGAGGTTCCCCACAACGGAACCCTTTGCCATCTCCTCAGGGGTTGAATAATGAATCTGCTCTGATGCAGCCCAACAGGTAAAAGACAATAGAGAGAGAAGCAGTACTTGCCTTGTGAGTGCCCTGCCATTCCCTCTGTGCCTTTTCTCCATCTGGCTGGTTCTCTCAAAAACAGGTTGCTTCCTTTTCTCAGTTTCCTATGCTTAAGCTCTCACAGTGATGAAGGAAACAACATGAGGTATCACTGAGGAAGAATAAACTGCCTTTTTCTTATATTTGTGCAAAGCAAAAGAGATTTTTCCTTCTCTGCAAGAGTTCCCTGTCACTGTGCTCTTCAGTTGGCCTGATCTGAATAACAGTGATGGGAGTTACTGCAGTCTAGGAAGCATCAATGGATGTCTATCCTCTCTCTGGCTCTCATACTGGCCAACACTGACACTTAGAGGACCACTCAAGGAACTGCAAGGAAAACCATGTTGTGCAATGTACAGTACTTTCCCTTTAGCAAATTTCAAGTTATTTGCTTTCAGTTTGTACACATTAAAACAACAGCTCCTCTGATTGCTGCATATAACAGCTCACAAGACTCACAACCCAGTCTGGAGATATACAGCCTATTGAAAACATGTTTTGCCTTGATGTCTGTCCCACTGAAATTGAACCCCGTTGAATGGAAGCTACATACCCAAGGGATCACCAGCAGAGCGTTGCCTCACTTTAACATGCTTATAGTCCTTTGTCCACCAGTCTATCACACAACATCAGGACACACAATTCCTTTCATTAAAATGTAACAACATAAGAAGAGCCTTGATGGATCAGACCCAAGGCCTTTCTTGTTAAGCAACTTGTCTCCCACTGTGGCATTTGGAGGCATCCTACTTCTAGTACCTGACGTGGTATAGTCAGCACGACTTGCGGCCACCATGAAGTTGTCTATAAGGCATCCAAGTTAGTGGCCATCACAGCTTTTTGTGGGAGCAATTCCCATAAGTTATTTAGTTATTAAAATGTGTAAAGTATGTGTGATTGTTCTGTATAAATAAAAATAATGGCTGGATACAAGTTTCAATAGTTTCATATTATACACTCAAAGAAAGCATACTGATTTATAAAGTTTCTAACAGTGTGTGTGAGTCTGTATTATCTTCAACCTTATTGTGCAAATTAAGTATGAAAATGTTGTATTTTTCCACAACAATGTTATCAGTCTCCGCACTCTGATTCTTACCATATTCATTAGTTTAACCATAGATAAAATATCCCATCGTTCTGTCCCAGCGCCTGCCAACCTAGCAGTTCGAAAGCACCCTCGGGTGCAAGTAGATAAATAGGGACTGCTTACCAGTGGGAAGGTAAACGGCGTTCTGTGTGCTGCACTGGCTCGCCAGATGCAGCTTGTCACGCTGGCCACGTGACCCGGAAGTGTCTGCGGACAGCGCTGGCTCCCGGCCTTTAGAGTGAGATGAGCGCACAACCCTAGAGTCTGTCAAGACTGACCCATACGGGCAGGGGTACCTTTACCTTTAAAATATCCCATACTCCACTCCTGTAAAGCTGGTGTTCTTAACCACACACTCCACTCAGCTTATACCAAATAGTTGTTCCTGCTATAGTTAACAAGTCTTGGACTACTACTCTGCTAGTATTAAACCCTTAATACAACTGAATAAAACAATCAGAATAACCGTTGATAAAGTGTATCCTGTTATTATTTCAGCTTCCCTTATTATATCCACCTGGAACCTTTCATTTCAGGACATGCCCCACAAAAATGTTGTTTCCTAGCATTGGTTGCCTTGCACCTCCCACTTAAATTACTTGCTGTCCTGTAGATGTGGTTGAAATGTGGCACTGGCAGGACCAGCTCTCTCATATCGCTTCTCCCTTGTCTTTGATCTATACTAAATATTGTTAAGTATTGCATTTTTTTCCGAATAAAGAAGTTGTTCCACCCACTTGACCATCTTAGTTGCGCTTTTCTGAGCATTCTGCATTTCATACAAGTTCTTTCTACATGAATCTTCCAGAGAAGTTCAAAACACTCCAAAAGATCTACTATGAACAAATAGGAAGCATTCATGTTTTACACATTTTTCAGTTAACTCGAATCAGAACAGGATGAATAAACTATGTGAGTGAACAAAGTAAAACTCCACATATCTAACCTCTAGGAGGAACTAAAAAATAACTACTGTATATAATGATAGTGATATTTTAATAATCTACAGGAAGAAAATTACAAGGAGGAAGAACAGGATATAAATTCCATAATTCATGAAGACTCACCTGAACGTTATTTTCAGACTTAGCATTGAATTTGCCTCTGTCATTGCAATTTGTAGACTACTTGTAAAAAAAGTTTTCTACAGTCTGAACAGCTGGTGCTAGTAATATAATTTGATTTTTTTTAGTTCTCTCATTTAGCAAATTAGGCAGTTAAGAGGAAGACAGCTAAAAATACTAGTTATGCTCATACAAGGAACAAGGTTGTAATGCCAACATCACAGTTTCTGAAAGCAAAACTTACCTGCTCACCAACCTCCTCTTTGGCACTGGCATCCCCACAGTTGCCATCCACAAGAACCACCTGAGAGCTATCATTGCATAGCAAGTTTTCTGCCACCTGGATATGGGGTTTTGGGAAAGAGATCTGCTCTTTCCTCATCTCTGACGATAGACAGAGTTGGTAGGAATAAGGTAAAGTTCCTTCTTCATAGTTTGGTGGAAATATGACCTGCGCCTTAGAAAAAGCATTAGGTTCAAAGCATTGGAATAATTTGGGATTTCCTGATTGTCGAAGTTTCATGACAATGACCAGTATCACTGTCAGGAGGAATAAAAATGAGATCAATGCCAAAGCCAGCACCAAGTAAAACTGGAGGTCAGAATGATGTTCTGTGTCACTGGATTGCCTAGTCATTTCAGGAAGTGCCTCTTGGAAGTTCTCGGCAATCACAAGATTGAGGACCACAGTTGCTGAGAGCGGAGCCTTCCCATTGTCCTTCACCAGGATGACCAGCTTCTGTTTCACAGCATCTTTCTCCAGAAGGGCTCGTGACGTCCTGATCTCTCCTGTGTGGGTCCCAATGGTGAAGAGGGCCGGCTCTGTGGCCTGCAGCACTTGATAGGAGAGCCAGGCATTGTGCCCAGAGTCCGCATCCACAGCCACCACTTTGGTCACTAGGTAGCCTGGCTCTGCCGAGTGAGGAACCATCTCAAACAAGGCAGAGCCCTCAACACCCGGGACAGGATACAGAACGCGAGGGCTGTTATCGTTCTGATCCAAAATGTACACCCACACGGTGGCGTTGTTGCTGAGAGAGGGAGAGCCACCATCTTGGGCCTTCACTTGGATCTGAAACTCCCTGAATTGCTCATAGTCAAAGGAGCGCTGTGCATAGATAGTTCCCGTCTCAGAGTTGATGGAGACGTAAGAGGAGAGAGGCAGCTCCTCCATGTTGCTGTTGAGGATGGAGTAAGTGATACGTGAGTTGCGGTCCAGATCCGGGTCCGAGGCTTTGAGGGCAAAAATGGAGGCACCTGAGGGATTGTTTTCAGGCACAAAGACACTGTAGGTTGATTTTTCAAAGGCAGGGGGGTTGTCATTGATATCTGAAATCTGCAGGGAGATGGTTTTGTTGGAGGAGAGAGGGGGGCTACCTTTGTCGGTGGCTGTGATTGTGATGTTGTATCCTGAGGCTTTTTCTCTGTCCAAAGGACTGTCTGTGAGGATTTTATAGTAGTTCTTTGAAGTTGACACTATTTGAAATAGTACATTACTTTGTAAGTGGCATGTAATTTTTCCATTTTCTCCAGAATCCCTATCCTTTACGTTGATGAGAGCAATTACTGTCCCAGGAACAGAGTCTTCAGGAATTGGACTAGATAAGGAGGCTAGAATGATTTCTGGAGCATTGTCATTCTCATCTATAATCTTTATATCAACATTAGAGTGAGCCACTAATCCTCCTCCATCTCTTGCTTCAACGGTCATAGTGTACTTTTCTGTTTCCTCAAAGTCAAGAGCTTCCTTAATTGTAATTGTTCCATTTTGTGGATTTAGGTCAAATTTTTGGTAGGCTCTTTCTGGAATATTACTAAATGTATAATGAATTTGGGCATTCACACCTTCATCCCTATCAGAGGCTTTTACTTGGAGTATGGAGGACCCCACAGGGGAATTTTCCCTCAGGCTAACTGTATAAACCTCTTGAGTGAAGACTGGTGGGTTGTCATTGGCATCTGTGACATTAATCCATATCTGGGCAGTCCCAGTTTTTCTGGGTTCACCCCCATCCAGGGCCGTAAGGATCAACTGAAGGGAGTGATCACTTTCCCGATCCAAAGGTTTCTGCAGCACCAATTCTACATATTTATGGCCATCTTCTCTCTGTCGTATGTCTAGAACGAAATAGTGATTTGGACTTAGCTGGTAATTCTGGAGAGAATTAATCCCAATATCAGGATCTTCAGCTTTCCCAATATGATATCTTGTACCTGGTAATGTGGATTCAACAATTTCAAGCCTCATGATTTCCTTTAAGAACTGTGGCACATTATCATTAATGTCCTGAATTGCTACAATAATATGGAAAACATTCAAAGGATTTTCAACCACAGCTTCAAAATTAATCAGACAGTGTACACTCTCCCCACATATTTCCTCACGATCTATCCTTTCATTTACATACAGGTTTCCATTTTGTGCACTGATAGTGAAATATGGCTTTTTACCTTCAGAAAGGATATGCAGGTTTCTGCTCTTCAGTTCTCTGGCATTCAGTCCTAGATCCTTGGCAAGATTTCCCACCACAGACCCCTTTGCCATCTCCTCAGGGATGGAATAGTGAACCTCTTCCAAAACTGCTCCACAAAACAAAGATGATAATATCAGAAGTGTTATATACCTTCCTGGTGTTTGAAAGCTCTCTCCATGAAGGATTCCTCTCATCTTCATTTTCCTCTTCTCTTTGATGAGCACAGGATTTCAGATTTCCACCAAGACAGGAGATTTTTTTTTGCACTGTAAAAAAAAAGAACTGGATCCTTTGGCTTAATTTGTATATGCTGCAGTGTTTTCTTTTTTCTTTCTCAGCTGAAACGTTTGTTCCAGCGTCTGCTGGTATTCCCGATGTGCAGTTTGGGACAAAGAGATCTCTCTGCAGAAAGCATCAGTGGAACTTCAGCTGCCCATGGATTGCCGTCTTGTCCAACAGTGACACTGTGAGTCTAAAGCAGAGAACTGCAATCTTTTCGCAGTGATTTTTCTCCCCAATACATGTCACACAAGGTCTCTGTTGGTGTTTATATGTGATGACTCAAGGCAGGCTTTTAAACAGAATATGTGAACCTTCTTTACTAGCTTTAATTTTCACCCCAATCTTGATATTTTGTAGGTTAATTTTTTACTCTACGTTGATAGAGATATTTACAATTATTTCCAAGCTTGTTAATTTGCAGTGCTGCTGACAAAAATGGAATTACAGGCTGCACAATTAAACATTATCATTTATAGTATGGGACTATTTAGAAATTGAGGAAATGTATTATTGCCTATAGTTAGGCCTTCACATGAACCTTAGACACATCACTTATCACTGAAATTAGTCCCACATCTCATGCTTAGTTTTGCCATCTCGCCCCGTACTAGTGCTCAAATTATTGGTCTATTTGTGTAGACATCCCCTTCAATAGATTTATTTAGCAGCTCTCAACTTTGCCATTGTTCCCCCCACATCCATGTGCTCCAGTAATTCAGTCATGGTAGATAGTTTTCTGATTTGTAGTGTTAACTTAATTTACTGTGAGATGTGTGTTTCTGACCTTGCACATCTACTTCACAGTCTCACAGGTATGGCTCATCACCCTCTTCTTTACACAGAACAATAACATTTTAGGTTTTTTGTAAGCCAATAGTATGTAAGGGATCCTGAGTATGCAGCTTGAAACACACACACACACACACACACACACACACACACACACTAACTTCCTCTGCATGGCCTGGCTGGCCTCCACTGGTTTCCACCCACAAAGTGATGTTAGTGCCACTCTGCTGGTGCATAATTCCCCATTGTTAGCAGACCTTTCCGCATGAATCAGATTGGAATAATCACTTTCAGTTTCTGGAGTTCAAATGCTTCATTCATGCAGAAACTATCTACAGGATGAATAGTGATGAGAGAGAGAAACAGAAGACATCTTATCTCAACAAGTTGGGAGACAACAACAAAATCGCTCAGCTTTTAGGGGTGAAGTAAACTTAGACATAATAGATACAAACAAGTGCTCACTAGATTGTTACAGAAACAAGGATTAATTATAAATTACTAACAGATGACATCCAACTGTCTTACGGACTACACTCTGGATTTGTGTAAGGTGTACTCCTTAGCTTTCTCTTCTCATGAAGATAGCCTGCAAGGCAGCAGAGTTTTGGATCAGAGTTTTCCTTCCGCTAAATGTGTTACCTTCCCAGGTTGAAGAGGAAGTGATCTGCCACTCACTTCCCTCTATGGCATGTGCAGTAACCACCTTCTTGATTGCTGAACCCACTATTGGTTTTGTCTGCTCAATCCACCAGAACTTGTCTTCACATACAGAGAAAGTCCCTAACTCACTGAGGGTTTGAGACCCATCAGCTACCCTCACTTGCTTTAGCCAGTCAGTCAAAGTCATATTGCAGGATGTGGCACCTGCCATAGTGCCTATGTGCATGGTGGGGACCAAAGACAGACAAACTACCTCAGAAGTAGGATGACGTTTCTCCCTTGATGCCCACCCCCCAAGGTCCAAGTATTGGATCAATATTGAAACTGGTCTTTGCTCTTCAGTGCCCTCCCCCTCAGCTCCACTGAGTGCAAATGAGGACCTTTAGGTATCATCAGCCCTGAGCCAGTAAGTGCTACAGTCAATGAGTCATCAGTACAGATGAGTAATTGCCATCACCAGATTCCCCTAAACTAGTAAGAATACCATGGAGGTTGGTTTGGGTAACTCTCCTTTCAGGTCTTGGGCTGCCCACTATGGGATCCTCATGCTTTCTAACCTACATGGCATTTGCCAGTTGTGGCACATTTAAAAAGAATGGCTGGGGTCCAAATACAGCCAGTCTTTAATTATTGAATGCCTAGCGGATGAGAAAGCTCCTGTCATTCATCTTCTCATTCGGCCAATTTAGCAACAAGAACAAAATACTACCATTCAGCCCCAACTGGGAACTGATAGATTCTGCCTTGTTTGAAGCTAGAAGGAGAAGGCCAGATACTGCCATGCCAAACAGAGGCCTAGAGATGGTGCCACCATGCCCACCCCAACTGTCCACAGAGGCAGCATTGAGAACATGCTGCACAATTAACGCCTCCGAAAGATTAAAGTAAAAGCATCTTCTGTTGAGTTCAAAGATACACATAAAAAGGTTGCATCCACATTACACATGACCTCCTACATTAAAACAATGGGTTAAGCATTGCATCCAATGCTCAATTAAATACCAACAATTTGATCAGTGAAATTCAATCCTCACTGTTATATGAAACAGGGAAACTCTAGATCTGAACCATGATGTCAAAGTACTTTGTACAATGTTTTTCACAATTATTCACAGAGGCAGCATTGAGAACATGCACAACAATTTATATCTCCATACGATTAAAGCAAATGTATCTTCTGTGGAGTTCAAAGATGCACAAAAAAAGGTTGCATCCACATTACAGATGAAGTCCTGTATTAAAATAATGGGTTACATGTTGCAGCCAATGTTCAATTAAATGCCAACAATTTAAGGAGAGGAACCCAATTCTTGCTATTGAATGGAACAGGGAAATTCTGTATCTGAACCACCGTGTGTGTGTGTGTGTGTGTGTATTACAATGATCTTCAATATAAACTATAGGCAACCTATTCAGACTTGTAAATATGAGCAGCCTATTACTAGATTAAAATCAATTTATAACATAAATCCAGATTGCTACAGCTCACTACAGGTTAAAAACGATACAGATACACTATATTGGGTGATAATAATAATAGTATAGTAATAGTAATAACTGCAATAGTAATAGCAATAGTAATAGTAATAACTCGGTGAATGTTGTAGTTGTTCATTCTTGAGTCAAATTGATGCCAAAAAACACAAGGTACTTAGATAATCATGTCACAACGTACTTTATGCAAGGTATACATGTGTGTTGTGTGTGTATGTGTGTAACCAACCCCCTGCCCCTGAACAAATCTTGAAAAAAAGAGATTTATAACTAGCCTAGCTTTAGGGAGATTTAAGTAAATCATAAGGCCCCCCCATGCCATTTTTATTGTGACTCATGATGATGTATGAATGCTTATTTTGTTTTTGGTTCTTTGTTAATGTTCTTGATATTGTTTTGTGGACTATGAGAGCTGTAATGCTTTGTGAATTTTATAATATGACTTTTCTTGTGGCTGTGCTGTTTAGCCTATTTTTAAACTTGTTTTGTTAAAAGTGTATTTTAAAAAGTGGTTGTTTTACTTTACTGATGATTTGTTTATTATTTTATATGATTTTTATTGTGCTTGTGATGTTCTACTGTGTTATTATTTATGGTACAATAAGCCGCTTTGTGACTAATGTGAGTGAGTGTCCCATATCTTCCTGCTGAAATCCTGCAACTTTTTATAATACCAATGTTCTGGTTTATTCTTTGTCCCACTTTCATTATACAGTAGTGCCCCTACAAATGGCAATAGTTTAACTAGCAAGTAGTGATATTTTTCATGTAAGTTTATGTAAATCTTATTACCTAGTTTAGATTTTGTTACCTCGCTCTGTGCTAAGGACTAATGCAATGACAGCTGTTCTCTTAAAAATTGCAATAACACCGGGGAGGCAGCTCAAAACAACTAATAAAGAAGAATGATGTGTGGACAATCCAGTATACATTGACTATTAATACACTATTATTTTGTCAAATGTTGAAGAACAAAACAAAGAACAAAAAATTGCAATATCCCCTGAAAGTAGTATGTACTTATAAGCAAAAGTATGCATATCACTGATGATATTTTCTGCCAACAGAAAGAAGTGTATTTCCTTGATTATATAGTAAAAAAAATGACATACTCCAAACCACGTGCCATAAAAGGAGCACAAAAACCTCACTTCTTATCATTTAATATTAAATTTATTTAAGCACTAAAGCTGAAATCGTAAGCCATCTTCCCTGGAAGTAAGCCTCATTGAATTCAATACAACTACTGGGTAGATATCCTTGGGATTGAACTGTCAATATAAAACAAAACAGAAAATGGAATACCCCAACTGACTACGAAATGGCTAATTGCACCAGGTGGTTTAGTCTCATCTACTTAGACTAGATAGGAAAGATGATGACTCATGAGGGCATTTATATTGCAAGCTGCCATGTGATCTTTGGATGAAAGGCAGAATAGAATGCTAATAAATAATTAAAATGAACATAAAAAACAAAATAAAGACCCACCTATTAATTTCTATATGAAAAACTAACTAAAGACTGAAAAAGGCAGGTACACTTGCAGTATAAAAGGTTGTATTGCAATGTCACTAAAGCTAAAGAACTACAGAGTGTACCATACATGTAACTGCAGAGAACAAATCTTACCTCTTCACCATTAGCCATTTCAGAATGAAAATTGTTTCCACTATTGCCTGTAAAAGGCACAACAGGTTTCTCACTGCTAAGAATATTGTCTACCATCTGAACATTGGGTGTTAGGAAGGCAAACTCATTCTTCCTGGTCTCAGAAGACAGACACAGCTGGTAGGAATAGGGCAAAGTCCCATCTTCAAAGTTGGGTGGGAAGATGGCACCATTCTTGGAATGGGGAACAGGACCAAAGCACTGTAGGAACCTGGGATGCCCTGACTGACGGAGCTTCATTGTAACGGCCAGAATCACAGTCAAGAGGAACAAGAAGGAGATCACAGCTAAGGCCAGCACCAAGTAGAACTGCAGGTCAGACTGATACTCTGAGCTGCTGGGTTGGCTCTTCATTTCCGGAAGGGCCTCCTGAAAGTTCTCAGCAAACACCAGGTTCAGAGTCATGGTGGCCGAGAGAGACGGCTGCCCGTTATCCTTCACCATAATGACCAGTCTCTGTTTCACAGCGTCTCTCTCCACAAAGGCCCTGGCGGTCCTGATCTCTCCAGTATGAGAACCAACCGTGAAGAGTGCCGGCTCAGTGGCCTGAGTCAGGTGGTAGGAGAGCCAGGCGTTGTGTCCAGAATCTGCATCCACGGCCACCACCTTGGTGACAAGATAATCTGCCTCGGCCGAACGAGGCACCATCTCAAACAAGGCTGAGCCCTTGGCTTCTTGTGAGGGGGACAGGATACGAGGGCTGTTATCATTCCTGTCAAGAACAAACACCCTGACGGTCACATTGCTGCTGAGAGGGGGAGAACCCCCATCTTGGGCCTTCACTTGCACCCGAAACTCTCTGAATTGTTCATAGTCAAAGGATCTCTGGGCATAGATGGTGCCGGTCTCAGAATTAATGGAGATATAGGAGGAGATGGGAATGTCCTCGATGTTGCTGTTGAGGATGGAGTAAGTGATCCGTGAGTTCTGGTCCATATCGGGATCTGAGGCTTTGATGGTGAAAATGGAGGCACCTGAAGGATTGTTTTCTGGCACGTAGATGTTGTAGGATGGTTTCTGAAATGTAGGGGTATTATCATTGACATCTGAGATCTGTAGAGAGATCGTTTTGTGTGTGGAAAGAGGTGGAGTTCCTCTATCAGTGGCTGTGATTGTAATATTATATGCAGGAGCTATTTCTCTGTCCAAAGGACTGTCTGTCTGGAGCTTGAAGTAATTGTTTGATGAGGGAAGAACTTTGAAGGGTAACTCATCCTGTAAATAGCAAGTAACCTTCCCATTATCTCCACTATCTCTGTCATTCACATTGATCAGAGCAATAACTGTACCTGGCAGAGAATCTTCAGGAACAGGACTGAACATGGAGGCTAATGTCACATCCGGGGCATTATCATTCTCATCATGAACCCTTAGCTCAATGTTAGAATGTGTCATCAATCCACCTCCATCTTTTGCAGCAACTGTCATTGTATATTCATCGTTGTCCTCAAAATCCAGTTGCTCCAAGACGGTGATTGAGCCACTGATGGGATCCAGCTTGAATTTCCGTTTGGCAGTTGCTGGTATGTTACTAAAATGATACCTGATTTGGGCATATAAACCTTCATCCTTATCAGAGGCTGCAACCTGGAGCACAAGCGACCCAACAGGAACACTTTCAGATAAGCTGACCTTGTACACCTCTTGAGTGAAAACAGGTGGGTTGTCATTGGCATCTGTGACATTAATCTGTATCTGGGCCGTCCCAGTTTTCCTAGGCTCACCCCCATCCATAGCGGTAAGAACCAAGTGAAGGGTCTGTTCACTTTCTCGATCAAGAGGGTTCTGCAACACCAGTTCTGCATATTTATTTCCATCTTTTCTCTCTCTCACTTCCAAATTGAAGTACTGATTGGAGCTCAGCTGGTAATCCTGGAGTGAGTTCATCCCAATGTCAGGATCTTCTGCTTTCCCAAGGAGAAAGCGGGCCCCAGGCAAGGTTAGTTCGCCTGTCTCCAGGTTGATGTTGCCATTGAGGAATTGCGGTGCATTATCATTAACATCCCGGATTTCCACTAGTACATGAAAAATATTCAAAGGGTTTTCTACTACAACTTCAAAATTAACAAAGCAATTTGGATTTTTGCCACATATCCCCTCCCTATCAATCCTGTCATTTACATAGAGGTTTCCATTCTCTGCATTGATACTGAAATGCTGCATTTTAGCCACAGACACAGTGTGCAGATTGCGATGTTTTAGTTCTTTGGTGCTCAGTCCCAGGTCCTTGGCAAGGTTCCCCACAACGGAACCCTTTGCCATCTCCTCAGGGGTTGAATAATGAATCTGCTCTGATGCAGCCCAACAGGTAAAAGACAATAGAGAGAGAAGCAGTACTTGCCTTGTGAGTGCCCTGCCATTCCCTCTGTGCCTTCTCTCCATCTGGCTGGTTCTCTCAAAAACAGGCTGCTTCCTTTTCTCAGTTTCCTATGCTTAAGCTCTCACAATGATGAAGGAAACAACATGAGGTATCACTGAGGAAGAATAAACTGCCCTTGTTCTTATATGTGTGCAAAGCAAAAGAGATTTTTCCTTCTCTGCAAGAGTTCCCTGTCACTGTGCTCTTCAGTTGGCCTGATCTGAATAACAGTGATGGGAGTTACTGCAGTCTAGGAAGCATCAATGGATGTCTATCCTCTCTCTGGCTCTCATACTGGCCAACACTGACACTTAGAGGACCACTCGAGGAACTGCATTTTGTTCTATGAAAATAGACAGAGGTGAATAAATGCAGATGTTTCTACAGCACATACTGTACCTTCCTTTCTGCTCACTGAGTGGAGCATTTGAGAAAGCTTTTCCTTGGTGTTCTTTCTTAGTGTACAGCTACCCTCATTTATGTTCGTGGCTTTTCAGTACTGTGAAAATTGGGGTTGTATCTAATACTGCAATTACATGAAGGTTATACACATCTTCATTTATTTTTTTTGGAAACATGGAAACATTATTATTAATATATAAATATCCAGTTACATAGTAAAACTTTATCTTAAAATTAATGTATTACGATAATAGTTATGCTATAGTAGCACAAGAGCTGTAAGTCAACTGTATTTTTGTTGTTGTTGCTTAAATAGAATATAAACACCCTATTGAAATTATTCTCTTTTTTTATCTCTGTTGGATGTCTGTTCATCAACATTTATGGAACAGAGAATAGGTTCTTCTCAGTGTTGGGTTGGAATTCCAAGAGTAACTTACTATTCCAAGAGTTCTCTCTCTGTTTTTTGAGGATAAGATGAGATGCAACACTTGCAGCTCCTGTCTAGACAGCACTACGTAATAAAAGTGTGTTCGCTGGTATTGGTTCTACATCAGACTCTGCCACCTGCCTCCTACCTGCTGGTGCCATACAAATGTCCTTGCTTAGCAGTTGCTCCCCTGTGATCAAAGCAGGAACTCAGCACAAGTGCAGGACCAATGGCTGTAGCTGCTCTACCAGCAGTAAAAAAAGGTAAAGGACCCCCGGATAGTTAAGTTCCGTCAAAGGCGGCTATGGGGTAGTGGCGCTCATCTCTCTTTCAGGCCGAGGGAGCCGGCATTTGTCCACAGACAGCTTTCCAGGTCATGTGGCCAGCATGACTAAACAGCTTTTGGCACAACGGAACACCTTGACGGAAGCTAGGCATGATCCAACAGGATAAAATGTTTGTTGGCACTTTACATGTGAGCTCATATCATGATAATAGCATCATGAAGTTTGGGAACTGAGAACAGTGGAGAGACAAGAGGTGTTCGAAGAAATCAATTGTGTCTAATTGAAAGAGTATATGATACAGGTCTTATTAGAAAATAACTAAAGTAATTTACTTTCAGTTTGTACGCATTAAAGGTAATAGCTCCTCTTATTGCTCCATAGAACAGCCTACAAGACCATAAACCCAATCTGGAGATGTGTATCCTCTTCAAATATTTTTGCCTGGCATATATCCCCTGGAAACTGGAACCCCACCGCACAGAACTGACATTTCCAAGTGATCACAACCAGAGTGCTGCCTAATTTTCAACATGCTTCTAGTTTTTCATCTGCTAGTCTATCACACAGAAACATTGCACACAACTCTATTTCATAAAAACATAAGAAGAGCCCTGCTGGATCAGGCCAGAGCTCTATTGAGTCCAGCATCCTTCCTCCCACTGTGGCCAACCAGATGCCCCTCAAAAGCTCTGCCCTTGGTCCACATTCAGAGGTGTCTGGTACTAGACATAATATAGCCAATGTGACAATGATTTTTTCTAATCCCCCTTTAAAACCACCCAAGTAGGTGACCATCGTTGCACCTTGTGATAGTGATTTCCATTGTTTGTTTGTTTAAATAAGTAAATTATTTAGAAATGGTTTATATAAAAACAAAATGGCTAGGCATACAATTATCATTAAATTCCTATTATGAAATCAAATAAAGCATATAGCCTTCATAAAGATCCAAATAAAGTATGTGGGTCTGCATTATCTTGAACTTCAGTGCACCAATAAATTATGAAAAAACACACAGAAAGTTATCAGACTGCCTCCCCTCCCTGACTCTTAGTTGTACCATTGATAAAATATTCCATGCTGTAGTAATCCATTCCCCTAAAGTTGGTGTTCTTAGCCCCTGCTAAGACAAATAGTTGCTCTGGCCACAGAGAGTAACTGTTGGAGTAATTATCTGTCTTCTGTTTTACTAAATCCTTAAAATAACTAGATAAATCAATGAGAGGATCCATTGGGAAAGTGCATCCTGTCATTATTCCATTTTCTCTTATTATACCCACCCACAAATTCTTAATTTAGGGACATGCCTCCCAAATATGTTGCATCCTAGCATTGGTTGAATTGTACTTCCAACGTAATTATTTGCTGTACTATAAATTTGACCAAACTGTGGGAGGCAGAGGAAGACAGGAGTGCCTGGCGTGCTCTGTCCATGGGGTCACGACGAGTCAGACACAGCTAAACAACTAAACAACAACAACTAAAATGTGACGAAGCTACAGCAGTGTCATATACCATCAAAAAATAAACTTATACAAGTGTTTCTTAAGATTCACACTAATTGTTTGCTGCCACATCCATTTTCACTGATCTGATGTCCCAGACTTCTCTGGCAATTACTTTGTTGCATTTAATTGTGAACAAGGAGTTCCATAGTTTAACTATGCATTGTATAAAGAAGTACTTCCTTTTATCTGTTCTGTATTGCCCAATGTTCAGCTTCATCCAGGCTCCAGTAATATGAGAGAGGGGGATCTATCTATTTATTTTCTCAACCTCATTCATTCAGCTGTTTCACTTCCCTTCTTGTATTTTATCTAAACTAAATATCCCTACAGAAGTGGTTGCACCCATGGATCATTTGGGATGCCTTTTTCTGTGCTTGCTGTATTTCACACAACTTCTTTTTATGAATCCTCCAGAGAAGCCCCACACAGCCCAAAATTATACTACAAATATATAGGAAGCATTCATGTTTTATGCATTCTTCAGTTAAGCTGATCATAACAGGACAAATAAACTGTGCTTTGTGTGAGTGAAAAAGTACAAATCCTTATTTTTAATTGATGAGGGATGTATAAATAACTATATATTTATGGTGACATGCTAATACCCCACAGGAAGATTGAACACTCAAGCTGTATGCATGCCTACATTTCCTTTAATTTCTGAGATGAAGACTCACTCTGTCATTATTGTATGCCTCAGAATTTATGCTGCATCTACCATTGCAATTTAAAAACTACTTGTAGGAGAAGTTCTTCACAATCAGAACAACTGATGCTAATACTGTAATTTGATTTTGCTGACACCCTTATATAGTAAAACAAAAAATATATATGAGTTTTATTCCTATAAGGTAAGGCCATTTCTGAAAGCAAAACTTACCTGCTCACCAACCTCCTCTTTGGCACTGGCATCCCCACAGTTGCCATCCACAAGAACCACCTGAGAGCTATCATTGCATAGCAAATTTTCTGCCACCTGGATATGGGGTTTCGGGAAAGAGATCTGCTCTTTCCTCATCTCTGACGATAGACAGAGTTGGTAGGAATAAGGTAAAGTTCCTTCTTCATAGTTTGGTGGAAATATGACCTGCGCCTTAGAAAAAGCATTAGGTTCAAAGCATTGGAATAATTTGGGATTTCCTGATTGTCGAAGTTTCATGACAATGACCAGTATCACCGTCAGGAGGAACAAAAATGAGATCAATGCCAAAGCAAGCACCAGGTAAAACTGGAGGTCAGAATGATGCTCTGTGTCACTGGATTGCCTAGTCATTTCTGGAAGTGCCTCTTGGAAGTTCTCGGCAACCACGAGGTTGAGGACCACAGTAGCTGAGAGCGGAGCCTTCCCATTGTCCTTCACCAAGATGACCAGCTTCTGTTTCACAGCATCTTTCTCCAGAAGGGCTCGTGACGTCCTGATCTCTCCCGTGTGGGTCCCAATGGTGAAGAGGGCCGGCTCTGTGGCCTGCAGCACTTGGTAGGAGAGCCAGGCATTGTGCCCAGAGTCCGCATCCACAGCCACCACTTTGGTCACTAGGTAGCCTGGCTCTGCCGAGTGAGGAACCATCTCAAACAAGGCAGAGCCCTCGGCGCCTGGGACAGGATACAGAACGCGAGGGCTGTTATCGTTCTGATCCAAAATGTACACCCACACGGTGGCGTTGTTGCTGAGAGAGGGAGAGCCGCCATCTTGGGCCTTCACTTGGATCTGAAACTCCCGGAATTGCTCATAGTCAAAGGAGCGCTGTGCATAGATAGTTCCCGTCTCAGAGTTGATGGAGACGTAAGAGGAGAGAGGCAGCTCCTCCATGTTGCTGTTGAGGATGGCGTAAGTGATACGTGAGTTGCGGTCCAGATCTGGGTCCGAGGCTTTGATGGAGAAAATGGAGGCACCTGAGGGATTGTTTTCAGGCACAAAGACACTGTGGGTTGATTTTTCAAAGGCAGGGGGATTGTCATTGATATCTGAAATCTGCAGGGAGATGGTTTTGTTGGAGGAGAGAGGGGGGCTACCTTTGTCAGTGGCCGTGATTGTGATGTTGTATCCTGAGGCTTTTTCTCTGTCCAATGGACTGTCTGTGTGGATTTTATAGTTGTTCTTAGATATAGATGCTATTTTAAATGGTACATTACTTTGTAGATGGCATGTAATTTTTCCATTTTCTCCAGAATCTCTATCCTTTACATTGATGAGAGCAATTATTGTTCCAGAAACAGAGTTTTCTGATACTGGACTAGATAAGGAGGCCACGATGATCTCTGGAGCATTGTCATTC